TACATTGTGATGCCTTCTTTTTGTTCTGAAGAAGGCTCTGATGAACCTGAATTTATGAGATTCCCATCCTGTAAGTGCTTTTTGTGCTTGTCTAGACAGCAACGCGAACCCTTTCAACTCTCAGAGCAGTGTTTAAATGGTTTCAGTCTTCAGTGATAAGGATAGGGGGTCTATTGACCTATATTAATTTGTAGTGGCATTGGGCCCCAATGCGAGACACTGTGAGGAATAGACATTCAACATTTAACACGGAGAAAAACTCAACGATCGTATGGCATGGATAGGCCATGCAGGCGTGGTCCCCGCTGAATGTTACCTTATATCTTTTATTCATATTAATTATATTGTTCTTTCTCTAGCCTAAGTTTATGGTCTATCATGTATTGGTAATTGTTACGATGTAGTGAGTTGGTGTAGACTTTAATATGTCTTCCGCGTAAGATCTTATAGATTAGGCAGTTATATCATGACAAATCTGCAATTATAGGATTAGGTCTATTATTAGAGCAGTACTAATATCATAGTAGACCATAATTCCACAAGTCCTTGCAGTTTGTAACACTGTGTAGGTTTAATCTCGTTTTGAATATGTCAACAAAGGTGCTGATATTATGTGTTCTGGTGGATAATTTCAGTAATTTACTACTCGGTGCGAAAAACAAAACTCCAAACGTAGAAGATTTGATTTCGGTTTTTGAACTTTCTTCAAATGTCCTCTCAAATGATCAGTCCTAGACAGAAGGGAAAGATAAGACATATTAATGCCAAGGTCATCCTTCAGTTTATGATAAGATAACGGAAATAAGTTAAGATGTATCAGTCTGTATTCATAAGACAGACCAGATAGACCTTTTACCATCTTAGTACCTCGTTGTTGAACTCGTTTCAGTATACCCGCTTCATACTTGAAGCAAGGACTCACTGCTCGAATCCCATATGTGGTCGCACGAAAGTCGGCTGTAATAATCTAAACATTTCATCACCCAAACATTGGAAAGACCTAAGAATAGACCATAATGCCCTCTAGCCTTTTGCAGCAGCAGTCTTACGGTAACTGGTAGTTCTGAGATCACTGATTAGTATGACTCCTAAATCTTTATAGTTTTTTACTTTAGGTAACACGGATCCACATGATGCGTAGTGATACGGATCATCATAGTAGCTTAGTTGCATCACGACATTCTTTTTAGAATTTACTTTTAGTGACCACTTGTCCATCCATGCCACCAGTGGGCTGAGATAATCCTGTAATACTATTTCATCTGGCATCGGTAACGAGTAGAACGGATGATTTTGCTGCAGTGGGTAATTCATTGGCATTAAGTGAAAAGAAAAGAAGATCGAGGACTTTGCCTCGAAATACTCCACTTTTTACAGGCTTCCACGATGAGAGAGCTCCATTTAACCGTACCGTTTGTCTCCTATCATGGAAAAGTCGAATACCCAGTCTATGACTGCAAAATAGATTCCAAAACCTTCTAATTTTAATCTAAGATCAGGATGGGAGACCCTATCGAAGGCTTTAATCAGATCTATGAAAATCACATCTACAGGAATATTTCGATCTTTCTCCGCAGCCCAATCTTCTCCTGCACTTAGATTTATCAAACATAATAGCCTCTCCTAAAACCACGTTCTCTGGATAAAGGATTGTGTCCTGCCACATATTTTATAACAGCTATCTGAATAATATTTTCCATTAGTTTTACAACTGCAGTAGTTAAGCTAACGCATCGATAGTTAGTAACTAAATCTCTACTCCCAGCCTTATACACTAGACTACGTATCGAGTCTTTCCAGTCTCTGGGCAGTCTGGACTGCCGCAGAGATATATCAAACAGCATCGCTAAAGGTCTGGCAATTATATCTTAAAGCGTTTTTATAATCCTAGGATGAATATTATCAGGAAAATTGGACTTATCAGGTTTGAAATGCTGAAGTAGTCTTAAAACAGCACCTTTCCCAATAACAATAGGGTCCATCAACAAGCCACCACAATCGCAATGAGTCGTTGGTCGTTCATTTTAGTGATAGAAAACACTTTGATGAAATATTCCTATAAACCTTCGGTATAATTTATTGACAATATTAAAGGATCTTCTTGAATCAAATATGTTGAAATTATCTGAGTTAAACATTTTTTATACGAGAATAACAGTTTCGTACTATATTTACAATCCCCAACCAATTGTTTTTCATATGATAATCTAGTCCTACTTATTAACGTTTTACAAACATTCCTAATCTTACAATAACTGGATCTGTACTGTTCGAAGCCAGTGGAGGTGAACAGATTCCAGTGCTTTTTCTTGCGTCTAAGAATTTTCTTGACTTGTTTAGTTATCCATGGTGGATTGTTGTTTGATCTACGTGGTACCAATTATGGTATGAACGAGGACGTAACTGAAATGAAGTTGCCTTTTAATATAGACCATGCTTCTTCACCTGATGACATATTATCTACTGACGAATCTGTCTTAACAGCACACTCCTGAATGGTTATGTTAGCTCTCCATACATTTGGGCCAGGCTTAGCCTGATTGTATATCGTGTTACTAGCTTTAAATGGGAGTGACAAAACAGCTTGATCGCTATTCACTAACGGTGGAAGAGTATTTTGGTTGGCAACATCCTCAGTCGCATGATTATAAAGTCCAACAGAAAAGAACCTTGGTTTGCATCAAAACGTGTGGGTTTGGATGCATGCTACACTAATGCATGCTCCAGTGCTGTTATCAGGAACCTACTAATGAAGGAGTTTATATATCCTATCGTGGTCATCTCAGTCCATCTAATATCAGGTACATTAAAGTCTCCTTATATCAAGCATCTGTTATATGAACTCCGTAGCTCGATGTGCTCTTAAATAAAGTCATCAGCTAAGCAGATTGAGCTGAGATAGATGACACCGAGTATAAATGTACAACATCCGATAGTAAGCTCACAGATAACGACTTTACAAGTTCCACTATCAGAGGATTCGCGAACAAAGGAGCGGATATTTATATTATTGGCTATGCATAAAAGGACGCAACCTCCTTTCCTACATCTATTTCTATCTTTTCTCAAGTAGAGGTATTCGAATAATTATGGAGTAATGTCGAAGTCATGGACTAATCAAGTTTCTGTCACAGCTAAAATGTGTGGCTCTAGTTTGTTCACTAATGCTTTTAGTTCATAGAACTTACTACTTAGACAACGAGCGTTGGCATATAAAACTCCTAGGGAGAACTGCCTATTCACATAGGCCTTTGTAGCATCAGCTTCCAAGACCTGACCATTTGAAAACCCACTAATCGGAGATTTTCCTCACCGTTTTGTCAACGGGTTACTAGTTCGATTAGTGCTATCTTCATTTTTTTCTTATCTTCAAGAGACATATCAAGTCTTGCTCGGATGTCAGTACTGCCGTGACTACGGGAGCTACTTAACAAACCCCTTTGGAGTTATCTGGTAAGATGCTACGGATATATTATTCGATGAGATTAAATTCTTTTTAGTCACGCCAGGGTGAAATTCTGTGTTGCTATCAGACTTTGTTAGTGTATTTCGGGACTCAGAACGGAAGTTTACCAATGACCTGTCAACACTGTATGTATCGTTAAAAGCTTTTTTCTTTTCAATTCTTTTTCTGCATACTGTCGTCCACTTTTCATCACTCATGGTAGCCATACCGGAACTATTTGGAACGGTGACAGTTTTATTTGAGTCTTCAATTTCCACTAGATATGCATGACTACCAATCTCAATATCAAGTGGCGCTTCACTCCTCGTTAGTTTTAATGGGGATTTCACTTTTTCGTCGATCACGGTCGGATGTATAACGCGTCCCGTAACAGCACGTGTAACACTGACACATTCTTCACTGTCAGTAAACGTGTTACCAGCGCAACCACCATCTTTCTCCCTACAGGTCAAGGCTAATCGGGGGGGGGGGTCCGAGAGATGGTGCTACACAGTGGCTAGAGACGTTATCAGATATGGCTCAGAATAGAAGCCAGTGGCGATCCTGCTGTAAAAAGTGGTTGTGTTTCCCTTATCTGAAAGATTTCTTTCGATTGTACCCTTCCGTTCCCTCATTACTACCACATTACCTTACACCAATCTCTTCGTTATTGTTCTCTTTTTTACGCTCCTTACCTTCTTTTCTTTTCTCTTCGAATTCTCATTGTTTCGTGTGGCGCATATATATTGGCGCTCTTTTACCAATATTTATGTGTTCAAATAAACAAATAAATAAATAATCGGCTGACACTCTCCTGGATTAGTAACGTCTTATTTGTACAGCAAAACACGTAAAGCCAATGCGAGTTAGGCTTCGGGAATCTTTTGTATGCGGTGGGACTTAAACGGTTACACATCTTATGGAAGAACTCTTTGCACTCATTGCACTGCATTTTTCCCTCTACGGGGAATAAACAGTTTGGCTGTCTACATTTATATGTACTACCAACCATCTGTAATCACATTAAGAAGGCTTAAAACACAATATGATCACAATATGAACACAAATGTTAGAGTCAATTAAAAAAAGGTACTTAAAGTCAAACTTTAGCAGTATTTCAAACCTTAAGCGAAATACTTCAAATTACGGTAGATCAAAAATGCTTCTTGATGAAACAAATACACAAAAACAAGGACAATCACATCAAGTACAAAATCATTACCCTTTTTGGAGAGCGCATGGATTATATTTTCTGGTTGGTGTTTTTCAGCAAGTTAGTCTTCTGTGGGATGGGATCGCCATACCTATGCCAAACCCTCCTCCTTTGTCCAGGCTTGGGACCTGCAGTAATCGCAAAGGGGCTCCAGGTAGTCGTTCATTTCTATATCACTCGACTCTATGCAACCTTGAAGTCCTTTTTCAAAGTGACCTTTAGAAATAATGAAAACTGCCGAAGAAATTGATGTGAATTTGTGCTCATCTTTAGTAAGTATAATTTATTTTGTAAAGGTTTGAATGAATAGACATACAATATCTTTGCCCTAAACTGGCGCTTACTACAAGTATTGGCGGCTTTCAAATGGTTTACTGTTGCTTTCCATTTTTACACGCTACATACTCGATAATGATCTATTGCTCTTGTTTTCTTCCCTGCATTTTCAATTTTATGAGGTTTTTGCATGATGTTGTCCTTAGTTCATACCATTGTATCTTCATAATTTGAGTTTGGTAATCCAGTGCAGCTGGTCGTATCATGACTAGCTATCATTTCTAGAATAACTTTGTCATATTCAACCTATCAAATGGTTATTTCTTCACGATTTTCAGAGTGATTACTCAGAGCATGAGTTGGTACTTGCTAGTTGGTTCATGTCAAAGTTTTTGTAAATTTAAATTACAATATAGGTTTGGATGCGTTTACTCATACCTGGTAAATCTCAAAACTTCTAATGTCCATTTAATTGCTTTGTGCCAATAAGTTAGTTGTTGCAGGTTAGGGATTTTGTCCTGCTCATCCAATTTGGCTTGAGGTTAGTTGGCGACATTTGGCTTTTGCAAATATTCTTGGAAAATGCGCAAAATCCAGGAGCCAATCATACTGTGTTTGTATTTTCTTCCCTAGGTGTACTAACAGTTTGGTAAATTCTTTCTCAGCAATTGACAAAACATGCTTTGTGAACTTTTAAGGATGAGGCCGAAAATGAAATTAGAACAAGATGATTGTACGACAGCTGATGTTTAGGCCATTTGCCATGATAGACATTAATCTTAGAGGTAGCTTGGAAGCAAAACAATTTTGTGTACTTCCTATTAACCTTTCACTCAAAAGGGCTGTCACTACCAGTTTAAGTGTGTTCTTGTAACCAGTAACAGAAAAAGTATGAGACTGACATTGATTTATAGTTGTCCCACTTGTGAGCGCTGCTTCAATGAATTACTTGAAGTGCTGTGAATGTAGAGATACAATCACACATCTTGACAAGCCCTTAAATGAGCCGAGAAATCCGAACAGTCATTTGTAAGCATAACCAATATCATTCCTGTCTCATGACTACAATGTTGAGGTTAAATGTATGATGTTCCAGTGATTAGTATACTTGAGAATTAGGGATGAAGTTGTATTTCAGAACTGTCATCGTTTTAGAGTAGTCACCTATTTAACTTGATATGTTAGCTTGCATTTCCGCACCAGGTTTCATTTCGATGACGTTTAATGCGGTCTTAAATTGTGAGTCGGCTGAATGTGTCTGTGAAAACGTGATAAATATTTATAGAAAAGGCCATTAATAAAGGTGGGTAAACCAACAAGCGTAACTATCCAAATAACCACTTTGGACTTATATTTAGGTTAAGACGTTTTGAATTCTAGAATATTGTACCTAGTTCATTTCTCGTCCATCAAGTTGATCAAATAAATAAGTTTCCGTTTTCACCGCCCATCAAAAATTAGATTTTCTTCCTAAGAAAAATAAGTATAGCATTTGTTTTCGATTTATGGCCAGGTTTGTTATAATTTTAAATAATCAATTTAAGATATTTTCTTTGGGCGTGTAACCTGTGCCCTAAAAATTCGAACGATATATATGATTAGTAACCGAGTGCATTGTTCGACATCTAGTGAAAATCCTTATTATCTGTTCAAGTAAATAGAACGTACTTTACAACTGATGCAAGTTTATTACGTATCGACACATGCACCGGGCTTCAGGCGATAACCAGTAAACAGAGCTGTGTTTCACTTATCTGGTAAGTTAATGGAGTACATAGACTACTGAGATGCCTCCATTTAAGTTCTCATAGTTAAATACGGTAGTTGGTTCTGATTTATACTTATTACAACGTTTCACTAGTCACTTGTACTCGGCTTAATCATTGTGAATTGTTTTTGCTATACAGATAATTTCAAGCCGTTAATAAAAGGATGAATACTAGGAAGCGATCTTGTTTTTCTCCACGATATGGCGATATTAAGTGTTCAGAATTAGAACAAAGTCATTCAAGCAATATAGAATCTCTTTCTCCTGTTCCTGTCGTATATTCCTCCGAACCTGAAAATGAACCTCTTCGGCGAAGTTATGATAATGTAAATACTTTAATAAAATCAAGTCCTACTGAATATACTGGTGTTTGTCAGAGTTCTGGGCAGAGAACTCTCAGGCAAAGGACTGCCTCAGGAACGCCCTCCGAATCATCTCACGGAGCTGAAGCTAAATTATCATCTGTCTCCGTTAAACCTCGGGGACTTCTGAACAGAGTGAGTTTTATACATTGGTTTTCTGCTTGGGTATTAATGTTGATCTAGCGGGCAACATTGTAATTCCACATTACTGTACCAGAGAATAGTTTTCTTATATTTGTATGAGGTTATCATCATTACTTGTACTTCAAGGTCACTAGTTGCGAAAAATACCGTAGTGTTATACCACTTAACGGAAGAGTCATCCTTTGTATTGCCACCTCGTAAGCGATATGACTCATTATCAATGGTGTGATCAGATTCAGTCTAGCTCTAACAACCAATCATTTTCAGTTGCGTTTCTCTATGATCCCCTATTTCTGTGTAATTTTTGTGATTGCTAAAACCAGTGTAGTATAGCTGACAATACAACGCCAAACACGAATTTGTTTGTTAAACGAGTTTGCACAGCAGAGAAGTTATTTGACCAAACCATGCTGTTTTATTTTACCATCTCCTCAGTCTTCCGATGTATCTTCTCTGACAGATTCTCAATTTCCTTTCTTTTCCAGAGGCTACGCAGGCCATCCAAGGTGATTCCAATATGTGGTTTATGTTTGGGTACGTCAGAACTAAACAACAAAACTAACTCTGCAGAAGAAATGATTGCCTGTTGGGAATGTGGGCAGTCAGGTATGAACTAAACTTAAATTTTTTATCAATGAAGGGCTCATTGTGTGGATGTTATGACCTCGTGTTAACAACGTGACTACGTGGCCTTAAAAAGTAGGCTATTCTGTTTCATTTAAGTGCTAAGTTCGTCTAAGTAACCGCTGTTATACGTCTAATGATGAGAATACCAGATTTTTTACTACTTAGGACAACCTATGACCTGGTCCAGTTATATATTGTTACAGTTTTTCACACGTATTTTTAACATTTAGGGAAAAATAATCAAATAAAGTAATCTACGCCTATATTATTTTGCTATTAGGGTTTTACTTTGTTCACTTGAGTCTGTTTTCTTAATTTGGTGCATATTCTTTGTAAAAGGATCTATTCAGTGAAAATTTCGTGGATTAATTATTGCATGCCATTTTTGTGCACATTAGTTTTAGCACCAGGAGGCTAGATTTCAGGAGTTATCATTTTGTATTTATCCATATTTATTTATTTGACTAATTTACGTTACCTACTTATTGTTTTTTACATTGTTGCTCAACTTTCATCATTCAAAAAATAAACATCTTCAGGTCATCCAACTTGTCTCAAAATGCCACCAGATTTAGTTAAACGTATTTCATCAATTCGTTGGCTTTGTGTTGACTGTAAGAGATGTTGTTTGTGTCAGTCGAATTCAGAAGATCAAAATGCATCAACTGATAAGGAGGATCCTCAGTCTGATTTATTATTGTGTGATGTTTGTGACCGAGGATTTCATCTTAAATGTGCTGAACCTAATATGCTAGAACCTCCGGAAGGTAAGCTTCTCAAGTAAAAATGTCTGTTATTTTTTTGCTAGAATCTTATTATATGTACTTATACTAATTGTTGCTCTGGTTGTTAGGAAGGGCATCGGCCTCGTGACTTCCGAAGAATATTGGCTTCCACCATTAAGCGCCATAATTGTTCTAAGACAAGATTTTTCAACTCAGAGGGCAGAGTTTAAATGATTTAGTTTGTTTATTCTGGTTAAAATTTTTTAGCAAGGCTGTTTTCCATGGGACAGGGTTACTGACCCCACGCCCAATCCTCCTTTTTTACCCGGGCTTGAGACTGGTAGTAACTCTAGAAAAGCTACAGGCGAAGTTTAGAATCTTATTATTCGTAGAATATTACATTATTTGGTGATATTTATAATCAAGTTGACCGTAATTCTCAAAACAGATTTCAAGGTATTCGTGATTCAGTTGATAAAACCACTTCTCTCCCTACGCATGCATATAATGTAAGTTATTATGAAGTATAATTATGCTGTAACCCGGGCATCAGATAGTTTTCTGCTCTTTAAAGGATATTGTAGATATTAGCTTAGTTATCTATAACAAATAAGCCTCTATTTAGTATTTTTATTTCATAGTTTTATGTCTGTCAAATTATTTCAGGTATGTGGACTTGTCCTATTTGTTCACAATCAAGTACGGAATGTTTGGACATAGATCCAAGACTACGATCCATTCAAGTTTGTGATCAGCTAACTCAACATGAAATAGACTGGATGAAAAAAGCAGCCAATATCAGTGGTGCTTATCTAACGGCACCATTGTCATTTTCTTTCCAACAATCACCAGAACCCATCATTGAACATAATGAAGCGTCACAATCATCTCGGCCGAGTTTTTCAATGACGTCAAAATCGGAAGTTAAACAATCTGTCCCATCTGAAAGCAGTCAAACTGGTAATATTCCAGCAACTGTATGCAAATCGTCAAAACGTTTAATTCAGAAATCACTGACTGATTGGACTTTAAGCTCTAAATCGAATAGAAAGTCAACTAATTCTATGCAAGCTCCTCTTCAAAGGGAAAATACTATAAACCAGTTGCCTACTGAAAATGAAATGACAAAAGATGAAAGTCCTCCTAAACGAGGTAATTTTTTCAACTTGCATCATTTATTTACTCCTGATTTAAATAATATTTTCTATATCATAGCATTCGGTTATTTGTTGCTCTCCATGAGTTTTGGATTTGTATGTCACAATCAATTACCCTTCTCATAAAGCAGTTTATAGCTATTTCCATGTATTGACAATGAACTTCATTTAATGTTATGTAAATTGTGATCAGAGTTTGACTAATTCAAACATTTACCCCAAGTAATTCTTAACTGGGTTTGTGTTAACTGATGTAACAACGATTCTCATTTATTCTTTTTAACTGACATATTCTTAACGTAGAAGTAATTCGATATTGATGCTTCTAATAGTAATCACCTGATGTGTAAGTTATAAATAAAGTGATAACACTAACCACATGGAGACAAAAACAGTGTGACTATGTTTTGTTAGGATATTTTTAAGTAAACTTAGCACAGGCGTTGGATGGGGTTTGCCAGACTTTATTATTACTACGCTGAGTAAGAGCTATGATTATACCTATTTACATGAATAGTAGAAGTTACTTTTCGTTAAACATCCACCTACAATTCTTCAATTCCTTGATTCAAGGCACAAGTTTGATCTAGATTGAGAGTTAAATTTCTTTAATAATGAATAACTGTCACATCCGTATATCATTGAGTTCATCCATATTTACTAATATTCGATCTACCCGAATCTAGTCATTAACGTACGTTTATTTACCTCACTTTATTTTGAAAATACTTTATTGTCAAGTATGTGAGTAGTTGTTTCATCTGAAATATCGTTTGTCCGACGATTAGGTGGAATATCATATGGCGAAAAGAGCATACATTTATCCTAGATCATACCATGTCATTTTTCTATAGGAGTGAGGGTTAAGCATTTCTTCAGTTGTAAACATTTGTGAACTGAAAATAATATATGCAACAATATGTAATCACAAATATTCAAAGTAACTTGTAGCATTCAATAAAGTTGATCTCTACCTTAGTTCTAGTTGTCACTTAAAGTCCTTAGAATAATGCTTATTATAATTATTATTGTCATTTGGATTTATAACTTTACAGTTTCACGTCTTCGACGTTCCTCTCTATGTGCAAGTTTAGCTTGGCAAGGTCTGCTGCGTTCTTGTGACAGATCAAAACCACTGCAGAATAGATCTATTGAACCACATAGTGTAAAACCTATTGGCGGTGAAGATGATGACGATGATAAAACAGATATTTTAATTTATCAAAGCACCACCTCATCATGTAAAGTGTTTAACAAATTGTCTAAAAATGAAACAAAAGTTAAGAAATACTTCAAGCGTACTGTATCATCTCGAAGCACTGACAATTTTGTTCGCAGTAAAGCTAAGCAAAACAAGATCAGTCTACCTGGGGAATTAAGGTCAATTCATGCTTCTAGGGGTGGAACTTCTACTGGTTTGTTTAATCGTGAAATTCTTCATGTAGCCTCAGGAAAATTAAATGGAAATCAAGGTAATCTTATGTTTTTTTCTTACCATTGTACTTGTTAGGAATGTTCTGGTTTTGTAAGATTTCCCTATTTTTCTTAATACTTCTTAGATCAGTTTACGCTTTCAGATTTTAATTTAATAGAAATATCATCTGGCAAGTCGTAAAAAAAGCGGCAAAAAGTGTTGTGCTGCAATGTTCTTGCCATTCTATGGGATTTAGTAAATCAGTTGAGGGCATTCTTGTTATACCTCTGCGAGTTACCAGTTGAAAAATCACTAACAACTCCATAGTTCTCTCAGACTATGGTTATTGTAAGACTTATAGTTGGTTTATTCCATTTACAAATTAGTTGGTTATGATTTGGTAATGTGACCGGAATTGTAACATAAACATCTTCCCAACGCTTTTTGATTTGAAGAGTGACTTTGCTAGTCAATGTAATTTTGTGATAGAGAAAATCCGTTTATCTTTTCGACACAATATATTCAAAATCACGTATGAATGACAAATAAATCATTAATATCTCCATTATTTTGTTAGTTTAAAATATCGCTATTTGCTCATTTTTTTTAGTCAAACGTCATGTGTCTGGTCGATCTGATCAGTTGTCAAATTCATGTAAAATGAATTCCACAAGTAAAACAACGCAGCACTCGCTGAAACATCGTCTGTCGAAATTGACTAATAATAATAGTAATTGTTTGAAACTAAGTAATTCATATAATCACATATCTCAACCTCATCAACTGCGTCGACAAACTATGCCTACTTCCATTAATAATAAATTTAACGTTAGTCACTCCAGTAGACGACGACATTTAAACAAATATAAAAGATCTTATTATTATAGAAATAAACGAAAATCGTTTAAGCGTGAAATCGTTTCAGATGAAGAGGATTATGACGATAGTGTTTATGAAGCAGACGCTGATGATGATGGTGACGACGATGATGATAACGATTCAAATGAAAATATTACAGAAGGTAAAAAGACAAATGATCTTCTAACTGGCAAAAAGCCTACGACAAAAATAAATTCAGTTGAAGATGGTAACACAGATCTTTTATCTACTTCAAACAACAACGCTGCCTATTTTGATTCAGAAAATGATGAAGCACCAGAGATGAGCACAATATCGGATGAAAATCGTGCGTTATTTCATTCAATTCAAGCTGATGTACAAGCTGTAAGTTTCTTCCACTTGTGTTTTATTCTACTTTCATCATGCAGTTAAACAATTAAAGACAACTGTGTAAATACACATATAGTATATAACTCAGTTTTAAACTAAACTAATTATAACTTATGATATGCAGTGCGATTCTACTTCAAGCCGATGAGTTATGGACTCCTTATAAATTATAGGGCTAATGTTCCATCATATTATCCTCTGAATCCTCATTGTAGGTCAAAGAGTATTAGATCGATATTTTGGTTTGTTTTGCTAACCCTTGTCCAAAAATTTCATGTCATTTACCTAAATTAAACTTGGTCATTTTAGTTAAGTGATTATTTTATCTACCGAAGGTCGACTAGGTTTATGATTTTAGTCAACTCATGATATGACGTAATTCATGTACCTTAGTTTCTAAGGCAAGTTCTTTATTCAGATAGATTAGAAATCAACAAACTTAATAATGTAGACGGCTGAATATAAATTAGTTAGCTGTTAAGCAATAAAATTGGTTATTGAAATCCTACTTTATTCATTGAGAAAAATATTTAGAGAAGGTAATCCCATCCAAAATCATATGTTAGGGGATCGTTAAGTATTTTGTATATTAGAATAGAGCATAACTACAGCACGGAGAATATGGAACCACAAAATCTATCAGTTATATATGTACAGAGTGTTCAAATAGATATTGACTTTTTTTGAAATGATTAAGGCTTATAGCTCGAATAGATGCTTTTAATGATGTGTCTATTGTCGGCCAGTCAGTCATCTACAACGTAGGACCAGGCACATATATACATCGGTCCAAGTTGCCATACCTCAATAACACAACAAGATGGACACCGGATTCATAAAAGTAGTTAATTCAGAGGTGGTAACATATAAAAGAAAGATTGCAATAAGGATATAGTTCAGGAAGAAAGAATTAGTTCGTAGAAAGAAATATATGAGGCGATTTTAATCTCTTAGTTTAAGGGAAGAGAGAGAGTGTATACACCGAGCTAGATAGGTTTAATTACAACTTTATTGTCATTCTGGAGAAAATTGTCAGTGCCTACTTTGTGTAGAACAAGTACATGAAGTCGACTTTGCTAATGTGCAGACTGTCAATAAAAGCTCTGTAGTTGAACTATTTAACCCAAAGAATAAAATATCACTAAAACAAATCAATTTAATTATGTTTGTTCTTTAATTGCAAGTAAATAGAAGATGCTTTCCACAAGATAAATTAAACATTTACATGTTTCGATTAGACATTATTTTATCTTAATGTTAATAAAAATAAAGTATAATAGATTCATTTTTGTATTGGTTGTTTGAGTTTTTCCATTGATGTTTTGGATTGAAATTGATCAATCTTTTATTAGTATATGTGTATCCTGTGCTGATTGTCTCGATATCGCCTTAAGTCAAAAGCATTATAAACAGAGATGTATGGTAGTTAGCAGTGGAATCCAGTACGCGCATTTCATCCTGTTTGGGACTTCATCCCATTGCACAAACTAGTGGCTATCTGGATTCAGTAGCTAAGTAGATAGTGTGGTAGCATTTGAAGCGAACGGTACGGTGTTCGAGTCTCGAAGTAAATATCAACTCTGGAATTCAGGTACATCCAGCTGACGAGTCCCAAATAAGACGAGATATGCGTTCTGGATTCCACTATTATCCATCATCTTTCTCTGCCTATATAGTATAACAGAAAAACAAAACCTATTCAAACATGAACGTCCTATAGGAAATAGTACTTCTTTTTTTTTGAAACTTTATACAAATGTAATATCAACGACTCAACTGTGATCTAATTTAAATAATCGTTAATTTAACTGTATAGATTTCATAATAGAGTATTTTGTGGACTTTTCTTTCACGATCATTACCCTCTTATTTTTCTTAATAATTTCAGTTTAGGAGTTAGTTCTTGATGTACACTGTACAATTGGATAAATCATTCTTCTTAGTTTTTCAGCTCTAAATCATATTAATTTTTAAATAAATAAAACTGTAAGATATCATTATACTAAGCGTTTTTAAGCTCATTAATTCTTTACAGTTACACTTAAAAGTAATGGGTGTGGTTAAATGTTTACTGAATATTCATTAAATAAATAATAACGGCACATCAAATTTATTACATTGATTTTGTAAGTTATCGAAACTGTGATAACTGCTACTATGTGTTGTACAGTGGATATAATAAAATAAACTGACTTTGGTTAGAGTAAACCATGTCTGTCTGACACTAGCGTAAAATTCAAGTATCTATAATCATGATGATAATAGTGGCATTTTCTGCCATTCTATATGGTTGAGGGTGGAGAGAGTCAGCTCTCCGTCTCGAAATGTTCTCATATGGCCACGTGCAAACAATCATTGCCAAGGACGTCCTACTCACTGCTTTCTGGAGGCAGAGGCGTTGTTTACGAAATTGAGGGAACGAAAATCGAATGTCCGACGCTTTAACCGAGCTTGTGAGTATGGGGGATTCACCCATGGGAGTTAGGAAACCCTAATTCCAAACCAATGGTACACACGGGCTCTAGTATCCTGAAGGAACAAATGGAGTATGGACCTATTGTTGGGCACCGACTACCACCACTACCACCGACTACCTTACAAATCAAATGAGATTTGTGTGGCGCATATGTATGTGGTGCCTCCTTGTGCCAATATCTGTGTTCAAATAATAATAATAATAATATTGTTTATTGACTTTGATTAGAAAATATCAATGAAAACTATCCTCTTATATTCACGTTGTCGTACATTTTCATAGTTACTGGAACACTGTAAATATCAGAAAAGTTGTAACTTTTGGAATTATTTTGCCAAGAATTGTTATTGTATGGTTATTAAATAACTTCATTATATTTTTACTATCCATCAACTACTGTTACACGTCTTACTACTACCTAATTATTGTTAATTATTCACTCCTTACTCTGTTCTCCATCACTTATGTCTTGGTTGTGCATAAACTATAGTTTCCTAGTTATTTTGTGTTGTGGTCTGGTAATTCATGTCTATAAACCCATAAGTGCTTAAAATATCTGACGAGATTATATGCTAGCTGTGTTCCTACTTTGTGTTAAATACTAGGTTAGGGGAACCGTACGTCCTGGGCCCAATCGATGTTATGGATTATATCATTCACTGCTCAAGGTTAATTGTTATTGATCAGAGTGTATCACTGGTCATTTTTTGGTGTTGCATTATCCGATTCCATATTCATTGAAATGACCACTGAACCACAAGTCGGTAATCTACTTAGTAGATTCTTTTAGACAGTCTGTATTTTTTATCACTCTTGGCTTTTCTTTGTCAACACAACTTAACGTGTTTTTATAAATGGATGTTTATAATTGTAGTAAGTAAATATTACTGTTTTTACCACTGATCAATAAATACTCCATTCTTGTTCCCTATTTGATATGAAAAACTAGTATTCTATTGTTAATTATATATATTATATGTAATATACGGTTAGCTAAATAAAATATTCTGTTAGTGGGGTCGTTTTCATAGGTAGAGGAGGTATCATTATTTCTTTTTCAATATATAGGAAAGAGAAAAACCAAGATTCACTTGCGACTTCGTATCCTCTCCTTACTTCCTCTCTTCTCTCTCTTTGTTCTTCCTCATTTTTTTCTCGTAGCATGTTTCTTGTGAGAAATCAGATAGTAGGAAAGATTGATTTTTTTCTCTTTTAATAATTAAGTTTCTTATTTATGTTCATGTGTATATGCAAAATATCTTGTTCTTTTGTATTAGCATTGATGCTTTTTTATCAAAAATATGTAGTTACATATAAATTCATTTGTATCTATCCTATTTTGTTTTCTCCGTTCTCTTTCTATCATAAATATATACACACACATACACATAGTGTTACTTTTCTTCGGCCCTGTTAAAATAAATGATATGATATCACTAGCGAATTATCATAATAAAGTTCATTCTGTTTGTTTCTCATTTATTCTTAAAAGAAAGCTTGATGTTTGGTTGGTTAATCAGTTCTCCGTTTGCTACTAATTGGTCAATACACACACACACACACACCAGCAGATATACATAAGTCAAGTGTGTGTGAAGCTAGTATCTATTTGTTGAATAAGACAGCTAATTACTAACCCGTTAATTAATTTAATTGGTAATTTTTCTTCACTTGAACAAGTATTAATACAATTCATATAGAATTGGATGGCGATTTTTTTAATCGAAATCGCTCATTAATTTCAATATGTTCCTATAATAACATTATGCTTCCACGGTGTGGACAATAGTGAAGTAGCAACTACCTCTACACCTATAACCAGGACCCATGGCCGATGGGAGATACAATTAAAATAAAGAAGTAAACAATGACAAGTTTAAGGTCAACAAGAACCAATCAACATTGAGGTCGCATGTGGAGAAATTCGAACACTTCATTTCTACTTGAAGTTTGTACTGATGATGTCGTTCAGAAGAACGATGAAAGCTCCACGACCAAATCATCTGGCTCAGATGACAAAACTCCATCAAAAACTCATGACCACCTTATTCACAACAATCTCTGCATTGAACCAATGAGACACTCAATTATTGATACAGAAACCATTTGTATTTGTGATTTTTCTTTTTCTCTATTGTCTTGTATGGTCAACCAGATCATTGGAATAATTCTACGGTATTAATAGCATCTTGGATATCGATGAAGAAAAAATAACTTGATCATAAAATGATTCGACTGAAAATCTTTTTATTAAAATTAGAAGAGAGAATTCTTACAGCTATTGGTCTTGTTAGTAGATTTAAGATATATCGAGAATATCAAAGGCTGCTGTGTTTACCTCTATCCTTGTAGTTTTGTTTTCGGTCCCAATAAAAGTCTTTTGCACATGTATTACTAAGGTAGGCATAAATCTCTCAAATTAGACTAATTTTCATTGTTGACGTAACACATATAGGTGTCGCATTGGTTTTTTTCACATGATCACGGTCATTTATCACGATCATTTAAACAAATAGCTTTTAATATTAATTGGCAACTAGGAATCACTGGACAGTTATTTCATTCTGGTTTAGGACTCTCCAGCAGTGCGCATCTACTGCCGAATGAATAACCGAACCGAAAACCTTCAGGTTTCGTTTTGAACGCTTGGAATTTAGATCACTGAGTTAGCAACCAGTGGTTTATATGTTTAACTTCAGTCAACTCACGATATCGCACAACCATCATCCATTTCCATATTAATGGTGGTATTTATCTCATGCTCAACATGGTTGAACTGCATTGGCTATAACTCGTGTCTTTTATTTCTCTGTTTTCGGCTATTCTTATTATTTTCGGTTTAAATATTCGGTTATCGATTTTCAAATCATTGTGACCAACCGAGTTTATTGACGCCTAATCTCAGTTTCTATACGGTGGTGATTGTATCTTCTCATAGAATTGTGATTATTCAGGGGACTCACATCTGACTGCCTTCCCTTCTGAGTCAGTAACTTGAGTTTATTCATAAACTGTATTTTTAAAGTTAAGTGACACAGTCGTTCAATAATAACTTTGTTATTAGTACAGTCCTGGCACATTAATTTATACTGTTCGATTCCTCATTTGTCTGACTGGATTGTCAAGGTGTATGAAAGTGCTTCATTGTCAACGCTGTTAAGTTGAATACCTATTCCTTATCCTTTTACAATTTCTGTCTAATTTTCATTCCTCTTGTGCGTATTTTTTGGGTTGTTCGGTCTTTAAAACAATACCAATGACATTATCTTTGAACTGGTATATTCTACTTTTTCTTCGTATATCCCTATACTTCTCTAGAAAGTCAGTTGAATTTCAGTAAAAATCAACTATTTTGTTTATGTATAAATTTAATTATTGACATTGTTATTACTTGTGTATAAAATAGTATTATATCTTGTATTCTATTTACATATTAATTGTCTATAACTAATTGGGTTTATTAATAATTAGGTTTCAAATTAATTACTAACTTCATTAAGGGACCATTTGATGTAAATATTAGAGAATAAATGAAGATGCTTAAATCATTTCGATTTAATTGTCTAAGTTTACTACACAGTAGGAGTTGTTTCGACTTTCTATTTAAATTGTTCGCATAGTATTTTTTTTGGATGCTACTTTGGTTTTCTCGATTTACTACTTCATTATTATTAAGATGGACAGATCATCAACATATACTCTAGCACAGATGCGCATTTGTCCAAGTTGCTGTACCTGCATAAGCACGATCAGATGAAATAAAGAAAATAATGGCAAGATGGATCGGATTAGTATAGTGATAATGATAATGAGAAAGATCAAAATGCTGAGGATATAGTTTAGAAACACAGAATGGTGAGGCATTTAGAAAGGAATAGTGTGCTTCAAGATCAAGATCGAAAGGAAGATAGCGAGTAAATGCGTTTATACTATTACGAGGGATTGCGGTCCATATCACTCTAAGTCTTCAACTATTGATTGTGGTTATCTCTAGAATCCCAACCAGATAGTCTGCATCTACCAACATGGCTCATACCAACTGTTCGTGACTTGATGGACTGGCACCACATTTTAGTTTAGCCACCACTAGCTTTCTTTCAACTTACTCTCATACTAGCAAATATCGTACGTTGATGTAGGGTGTGATTGGCCATATATAGCACACATCCTGACCACTTCAGTCGATGATGGTTTACAATCTCACCAACTCCTTTGCGCTTAATCGATAAATCAGAATCAAAATCAACAAAAAAGGTAAAGAATTAAGTCGAGAAGGGAAAAATATATACATAGATTCCAGGGAATGTAAATAGACAGCACTGAAATATTGAAAAGTTAAACAGAAATTCAACTTCTCACCACTATTAGATACTTTTATGGTAAATTTATTAGAAATATTTTGACTAAATTTTTAAAACAGTCCAAGATCCCATGATTATTATTTTCACATTTTATCAGATATGAGTTTCAAAATTCAGTTATTATTATTATTACTATTACTATTATTATTATCCTTGTTCCTCACAACACCTGAAATAATCACTGAGAGAATTATGTTTTATTCTTTTTTCAACAGTGTCTTCCACAACCTCTTGAATCCAGCTTATCTCTTCCACCTGCAAATAATCCTAAAGTTTTAGCTGCTATGGATAACTCATCCTTGAATCTATCGTCGAATCAGTTGGTGATGACGCCCAGCGATTCTAACGAGAATGATGCTCATCATCAACGACTACAACTTGAAAAACTAGAAGATACTCGTTACCCGCCTCAAATACAACTTGGTCGTTATGTTATAACTACTTGGTATTCAGCTCCTTATCCTTCGGAATATGCTAGGTTAGTTAAGAAAGCCTATTTTTGAAGTACTTTGGAATGTAATACAACAATGTTGAGATTTAAATCAAAGGGATTGCATTGGTATTTTGTGTAATGGGAAGAAGAGTAGCTATCCGTAAAGTATGTCGAATAAGAGCGCCTACATATTATATAGTAAACAGGATACAACATATCGGTGCAGTGTCACGATACCGTTTTAAACATAGCTTTTGATATGAAAAGGATACTGTTCACTAATTACTGTTTTCTTTTAAATTTCTTCCAACTGGTAACATTAAGTAAACAGGATTGATGCGAAGTTCACGACTGTATGTTAGATCGCATAATGCGTCTATAAGATCATGGAAGTGATTGTATGTAGATATTTTCAAATGTGTTTTCAACGCCACTGACTATCTTATTCTTTCATAATCAGTATGGTGATACAAGTTTGAGGTTCAAGTTAGTCAGTCATAAGTAATGTCAGAACTGGCACATTTGTGCATCAGTTCAAGTTGCCACATGACATCAGCAAAGCGGGATGTCATCTAACTCAACATGGTTTAAAAGCTATTGACTTTACTATACGATAATCTAGATGATTTTGTTCATGAATATGTTACTATTTCTTGCAGATACCTGAATATGTAGCTTAACATCTAAATAATTTGTTAGTGAAATTTAAATGAGTTCATTATACCGTAAAACAATCTTTTGCGAGTAAATGAATGAAATGGAGTCTAGTGTTTGACTGTTGTTTTATATATATGCGTGTATAAGTAAAATAATGTATTTCAACTTATTGATTTCATATTGTTTTTGTCATTTCAGTTCACTTTTTTGTAGTAGTAGTAGTAGTAGTATTAGGACACATGATTTTATTTTGGTCATTTTGACCTTACTTTGGGATAGATAGGTAGTTAGCTAGTTAAGTGTATTGAACTTTTAATCGACCTGTATGTATAGTTTTCGGATAATATAACTGAAATGAATTATGTTAGAGTTAGCAAAATTAATCAAAATGCTTTTATACTAAAATTTGGACACAATGATCTTAATTTTTGTGTATATTTTAATGTTGTTTATTACTTATTATGTATAATAGCTTATTTTGAGATTTTTCTAAGATTTAGTTGAACACATAAACGTTGGTTGGTACAAGGGAGCACCAAATACATATGCGCCACACATTAACAATGAACCCAGTATTAGTTATCATTGCTTTGTGTGAGGGCTGTGATTATGCCCGGGTGCCCAAACTGGGGTTATGAGATAGATTTCCTAAAGTTCCAATTGGAAACCATGACAGCCAAATAGTACACATCGTGATACATTTTGTTGAATAAAGTTAAAGTGTGAATCACTGAATTTATCGATACATGAAAGTTCTTTAGAAAAATAAATTGAATTAACTAATTCATCAGATATTTGGGTATGAGCCACACTAAGTGTATGGGCTAATAATACTACCTAGTTGTCCACATTGAAGTAGTGTTCAAACTAAGGACTTATTGATTGAAAGTAGAACACCTTAACCACTAAGCCAACGCTCTCCAAGTTCTTGGTTCTAATCGAATTCATAGTTTTAGGTTTGGACTGTTGAGTTCTTCCAGGATAGGTAAGGGATTAAAGAGTTTGCTAGTCCTCTCTTTGATTTTCAATGGTTTTCCTTTTCGCTTTATTGGCCAATGAAAATTATCTTCGAATGTCTACTACTTTGGGAATAGAAAATAACGACTTTCAATATCTGTTCCTTTTAATTACTCGAAAGCACCATAAAGTTTCTTTGCATGTTTCATACACTGCTAGATTTTACACGTCTTACTTATACTCTCATATCCTTTATTTGCTCAGAATAATCCTTATTTGAATGTCAATTTACTATGTCAGTTATTCAATCTTTACGGTACTTTATTTTTTTAATTCCTAATTTTCGTTCTGCTTCGAATTTGTTGACCTAGCAAATCAGTTGCTTTTACTGAGATGTAATATAATAAATGTGACAACTATTGAAACTATGAACGTGAAGATCATCAGTCAGTCATAAGCATCCGAGTATCAGATTCATGAATATCGTTTCAAGTTGTCACTTTATATCAGCAATGTGAGGTGAAATTATCAAGATATACTCCAAAGTCACAGAACTAGTGTTAGTATCATTTTTTAGTAGAGAAGATTAAGCAAAATAATGTAATTTGGGAAAAGAATGATGAATTTTCATTTTAAGACAAAGAGTGAATGCATCTACACCATTGCAATCAACTTCCAGCTATATCGTCCAACGTCTCCAGTCATTAGTCACGACAGTCACATCGGCCCTAACGTGATAGTCTGCACCTACCAACATTGTTCATCCAAGCCCTTAATGACTTCATGGAATTGATGCTAGGAACAACACCTAGGCAGAACTATTCATCTGTAATAGTAGACTGATGTTAAAGTATTAAATAATTTATGGTATTAATATATAGGAATACCCTTAGTTGATAACATTGTTGCTTTGTATTCTGAGATGTCTGGAATTTAAAATAATGATTACAATCCAATAAATCATCTTTACCATGCTCTCTTACATGGATTGAAAGTTTCCAGCTCCTTTCTTTGATATATAAGTTGTCGGAAGAGTTTTCTCTTCTAATGCCATACTACAGCTAACGATGTTGTCCACTATTTAGTTTTAGATGTGTTTATTATTATTATTATTATTATTATTATTATTATTATTATTATTATTATTATTATTATTATTAGCTTTATTCAATATTATAATTTTGGTACAATATAGAATTCTCAGCGCAAAGTATTTCAACAAGTTTCCGTTTCTTTCTTCTTGGTCGGTCCTGGCGATAAATATTGAGGAATCGCCAGTTAGATGTTAGCACTTCAGTGAATGAACAACTGAATAATGTACATTCTTTTCGTTGTACATTGCCAGCAACCATATTGTCTCTTATTGAGTTTTCTGTAACTTTGACAACGAAAGGTTGTACACTTTTCAGAAACGCAGCAGAATAGGTTATGCGATTAATAAACATAATGATATATTAAAACAAACAACAATAGATAACTTGTTGAAATATCTAGATGGCAGGAACAGGTAGCCCAGATGCTCAAGCAGGCCGCCCTTTTGTTAATTCATGTAAATATAGAAAGTCACAGATTGTATACTTGTGTTCACGAATGTATCATTCGTTTTTAGCATTTAAAATTAACATAAATATGTTATTTGTTTTGTCTTGTTTCCATTAGGCTTACGTTGTTGTATATATGTGAATTTTGTTTGAAGTATATCAAGACTCGCAATGTCTACTTAAGGCATATTGTAAGTTTTATCCTTATGCCTTTTTAATTGTTTCATCTTTTTTTCTGGAGCTCTAATGTTTGTGTCCAGTTGTTCAAAATCTTGGTACGGAGGGTGTGATTTATCTGGGTTTTTTTAATCGCTAATTATTATTCGGCCTATAGACTTCTGACAGTCCTAGCTTTCATGATTCGGAAAAGTGAATGATTTATTTTCGAGCTTATATTAATGAAACTAACTTATTCAAAAAGTATTTGAGTATAAGTCGCACCCTAAGTGTGGCTAATGATGTGGTGTATGCTACTTATATCTGTCGACATAAGTAGTATCTAACACTAATCAGAAGCGGAATGCATGGCCGCAGACGGCTAATAAGGTCGAATTAAAGAAAACAGGGAGGAATTATGAGTTAGAAAAATCATACAGAATGCGAAGGACAATTGATGAGCGATTTGCAAAGGAAACATTTGATGTATGGTTCTTATTCCGTAACTTTTTATTAAATAATAAATTGGTTGTCCCCCATAATTTCTCGTTCACTAAAGTGATATCCGATTATTAAAACCGAAATAGGTTGAACAGTATTCAAACCAGCAAGCTGGGGAAATCAGGATAATCTTGGAGTTGAATGTGATTTCGTGATTATTTATTTATTTAAACATAAATATTGGTACAAGGAAGCACCAGATACTTATGCGCCACACATGCCATTCGGTTTCTGTGAGATCTGGAATACTTCCCGGACACTCAAACCGAGGCAGGTGATTTTTAGGACACTCCTTGAGAACTTGACGTAGAGGACGTTCCACATGGAAGTGGAGCAACATAATGAGATGCAGTCCCATGGTAGTCGATGACCAACAGTAGGTTCATACTCCATTTGTTCCTTCAGGATACTAGAGCCCATGTGCACTATTGGTTTGGAATCAAAATTTCCCAACTCCCTTAGGTAAATACTCCATATCCACCAACCTGGTGGATCAGATTCTGTAAACTTCACTTACCTACTGAAGTTTCACTGCTTGATATTGATGCATCATTTAACTCGGCTGATCGAATAATCTTAATAAAGTTTCACTAAAAGGCATACCAAAGAAGTACATAAATCTTGTGAAAATTCTTTATTTCAAACACTACTGATCGAGTTACACCACAAGTTTCAAACAATAACCAGTGAAAAATATTGTAACAGCTTTACAAATGTAATAACTTACCTTAACTGATATGAATGCAAGTGTTTATCGAAAATCTTGCATTTTCCAATCAATGTTTTTTTGTGTGGTTTTTGATAAGTCTTGCGAAATGAACGCTATATCCGTTTCCTAAGCTATTCTGTAACCCCCAAGCTAGAACTATACAGCGACCTGAACACAGGAGAGAAGACGCAAAGTATGCGAGAAATACTTTACTCCAAGGTTCGTTTTTGCACAGAAAACACGGGTATTTATAGATGTTAACATTTGTTAAATCAACATCATATTTTAGCCAATCCTCTAAAAGACATATTATGTTACTGACCAATAGTAGCACGCCACGTTGACATTCTAGAAAGCTCCATCATGCTCTTTTTGATGGAGTTTTGTTCTCTGAGAACAAAACTCCATCAAAATCATCCATATGAGCTACAAATCTTTTCCGCCATCCATCATGCTCTGATTCGCTAGAACTTTACGGCTCCTCTAGGGCCTCTGGAGGCTCCGTTGCAGTTCTCGGAAAGCCGATTCAACAGTTTTTTCTCCTCTTTTTGTATCATTTTATTCAATTATCATTTATGTATTATTAGTAATCACTTGTTTTTTTTCTTTTCTTCTCTTTTTTTCACTAAAGGAAAAATGTCCATATAGTTTTCCACCTGGTAATGAAATATATCGTTGTAAAAATATTTCAGTATTTGAAGTTGATGGTTATACTTCACGTTTATATTGTCAACAATTATGTCTTTTAGCTAAATTATTTTTAGATCATAAAACATTATATTATGATGTTGAACCATTTCTATTCTATGTTGTTACAATACATAATAATGCTACAGATGAACAAGAACATAATGAAAAATCTAATCACCATAATAATAATAATGATAATGAACGATGCTTTCATTTAGTTGGTTATTTCTCTAAAGAGAAACGTTCTGTACAAAAGTACAATTTAAGTTGTATTCTAGTCTTACCTCCATATCAGAAACAAGCATATGGAAGATTTTTAATTGATTTCAGTAAGTTTGATTTTTTCTTCTTTTTCTTCTCTCTCTCTCCCCCTGTGTGTGTGTGTGCGTTTTATTTTGTTTACTCAACAATTATGTTTTGTTAATTCTTAATATTATTTATTACTATTGTTCTGTTGTCGATTTTTTCACTGTGTTTATACAGTATACTGTTATGAATGCTTTTGTTGTTGTTGTTGTTGTTGTTGTTGTTGAAGGAAGTGCTTTTGTAAAATGCATTTGAAATAGGTAAAATGGGTATGTATAAAAGTCAATTATAATCAATTAACACCCTAACTGAATTTCTTACGTCAATATTTAATAACAATGGTATATAAAGATAGTCGACAAATTCAAGTTAATTGGTGAAATACATAAAAACTAAACCAATGGAATAGAATCTAGTGGATAATGTGATATGTTTAGTTAAATTGTGAATGGTAAACCAGTATAATACGTAATGAAACTTAGTGGAATCGAATAACTGCTATGTATTTAACAGATATTCAGAGAATGTTATTCTAACTAGATGTGAACTCATTTACAAGGTATATAAACTTAAAATTCCACACAGTGATCGTAAGTAGTGAAAGCAACACAAAGATGAAGATGACCTTAATAACAGACACGATTATTTTTTTTATGATTTAAATCATGAACTGATTTTATCTAGATTAACTTTAAAGAAACCTGGAAGCACTAGAAAACCATTTCATTCTAGCTTGAGATTCCTCAGAAGTGCAGTCAGTCAGCTACAACGTAGGACCAGGCACATATGTGCATCGGTCCAGGTTGCCATACCTCAATAGCACAGCAAGATGAACAGCGGATTCATAGGAGTGGTTAGGTCAAAGGTGGTAATATATAGGAGAAAGATTGCAATAAGGATATAGTATAGGAAGAAAGAATTAGTTCGTAGAAAGAAAGATATGAAGTGATTTTAATCTCTTAGTTTAAGGGAAGACAGGGAGTGTATGCATCGACGCCATTGTGATCGATTCTGAGCCATGTCACCAAGAGTCTCCAACCATTGGTTACGAAAGTCACGCGGACCCCAACCACGTAGTCTGCATCTACCAACATGACTCAGACTGGAAGTTAGTGACTTCAGGCACTGATGCCACGTTTTGGTTTGGCTGTCCCTAACTTTCTTCCAACCATCCCCTACACCGGTTAGCATTGCACGTCGTGGTAATCGGTGTCCAGGCATACGTAATACGTGGCCCAACCATCTCAGTCGATGAAGATTCATAACCTCATCAACTGATTTACCATCAATATCTAATACCCTGCGTCTAACCTCACTATTACTTACCCGGTGATCCCAGCAAATGCCAGCAATATTTCTAAGGCATCTGTGGTCAAATACTAGTAGCTTACGGGTGTCTTCTACTCTTAAGGGCCATGTCTCGCTGCCGTAAATTAAAACAGAACGAACTGCCGCGCAGTATACTCGTCCTTTTATTGATAGACGGATATCTCGCCTCCGCCAAAGGTGACGTAAGTTGGCAAAAGCCAAGCGAGCTTTTCGAATCCGTGCTGAGATTTCATCAGACACCAACCCATTAGGGCTGATCAGACTTCCAAGATAAGTGAAGTTGTCAACGCGTTCGACTACTTCACTCCCTATCCTTAATTCAGGTGTTGATGCAGACCAGTCCTGAAGCAACAACTTGCATTTAGAGGGAGAGAAGCGCATCCCAAACATTCTGGCATTGTTGCTTAGTGCTATCAGAAGACTCTGCATTTTGTCAGCGTCTTCACCAAACAGGACCATGTCATCTGCGTATTCTAAGTCGATAAGTGGCGCTCCTGGAAGGAGATCAATACCCGAGAATTCAGTCGACGAGAGTGTTATTTCCATCAATAGGTCTATGATGAAGTTAAACAGAAATGGAGAAAGTGGGCAGCCTTAACGGACACCACTTGAGGTTGCAAAAGTAGATGCACAATCACAACGCCGCTTCAGGTAATCGAAACCAGGACCTTCGCGAACCCTTGACCCCTAAACCGCTGAGTCGATATCCAACGGTGTTTTCTGCTTAATTTCAATCAGTTCAAAATATTGTGCAACTCCTATCCATTCCATGCGGTAGAGATAACTGTACCACATCCGACATGATTGGACTCTATTGGTCATGATTTCGCTTTAGAACTCATTCATTAGTGAGCACATGATTATTGTTATAATTGTTAAGCAAACTTTTAAAATTGATAAGCATGTGGAAAATCTCCGATCTGAAAAGTAATACATAGGAACTAAAAGTCACTGGACTATAGTTAAAGAACATTGAGTGAGCTTTATATAGACTGTCTGCAAATAATGTGTAACTTTTTTTCAAGATATAATTATCTTTGTAACAATTAGATGTCTATCTTGGTGTTTAAAGTAAGTCATTAACTTTAAATTGTTTTTCCTCTCAATTGTGTATATACAAATCTGATTTCTAATCCTAGTTTTGTTTACACATTGGCTAACCCGTTCTGTCTGGTTGATATTCATTCACACTTTTGGGAATTGTTAATTGTCTGCACACTTAAAATGGAAGTACGCGTACTCGAAAGCTTACTTCATCAGTTTATAAATGTTATAAAACTTCACATCTTATCTTACCTTAGTGATTGTTACTAATTTTACATATAAGTTATCTTAAAAATCTTTTTTTAACAATTTTTCATAGGTTTCCTATTGTCCCGTATTGAAGGCCAACCGGGTTCACCTGAAAAACCACTATCTCAACTTGGCAATCTTTCATATCAGTCGTATTGGCGATCAAAAGTTCTACCATTTCTTTTATGTTCTATGAAAAATTGTAAATTATTAAATTCAACGCTGTCTAATCATGAAACAGACTCGGATTGTTTGGCAAATCCTGTTGGATCTATTGGGTTTCGTGATTTTGTCATTACCATTCATGAAATTAGCTCTACTACTGGAATAGATCCACATGATGTAGCCAGTACTATTCAACAGTTGGCTACAACAATTACATTAAGTGCAGATGGAAGGTAATAATTCCTTATTATTATTTTCAAATGGTTTCAGTCTTTTTAAAAAAAAATTTGATTGGGATTAGTGGTTTAAGCTAAGATAAAAACCTTACTCCGTCTTATGTATAGCGTTGAATGCCTTATCTTGCTATTGTTTTAATTGATAAATATACAACCACTTGCTAATTTTCAAAATGAAACTTTTCTTGATAGTTACTAATTTAATCCTAGTCAGTTGAAGGTGTTTTATGAAGATTGGTTCAATATTTGGGACGTATTCGTCGTAGATTGATATCAGCCGAGGTACTTATATTTTTTGCACGAAAGTATTCTTTCAGTATAAAATAAGGTCTTATTTGTTATTTACCAAACATCTTTAGTGAATTTCAACGTTAATTACATGATAAGCAGGGGAATCCAGGACGCGCATTTCGTTTTATTCAGGACTGAGCCATCACCCATCTTTGCTTGTAATGCTTTGGATTTAAGGCAGTATCGAGGCAATCCTCACAGGATGCACATATTTCATTTTAAAAAAATGATCGATGTCAATCCTAAACATCAATCGGAAGAATCAAACAGCCAATACAAAAATTAGTTAATGATATGATTAATAAGCTTATTTTATCCATAATAAAGTAGCAGGTCAATAAAAATTTCACATATTGTTCCCTTAATCAATTTATTCAAATCTTTAAAATTATAGATACTGGGTAAATTAATCATAAAAAGCGAGTGAGATCTAGTTGAAGATTTGCGTAATTGACAATATTTTTTTACAGAACAGAAAAGTTAAGGCTAACGATAGAATCAAGGGCACGCGATTGATCAGCCGTGTTTATCTACATCTGATTGTTTATGTCCTCATTGGGACCCGAACTCAGAAACCTTTAACTTCAAGCACCGAATGTGTTATCTAATGAGCTACTGAGTCCAGACAGCCGCTCACTTGTGCAACAGATATAACATATTATCATGAGAAAGCATTTGAGCTCTCCTGTTTTTGATTATCCTGACTGAGTTTTAATCAACCTATGGTTCTTTTGAATAGCAGACATTTATTTATTTATTTTATTTAAACACAAACATTGGTACAAGGAGGCGCCAACTAGATATACACCACATAAATCATTCGATTGGTGTGAGGGATGGGATACTGTCTAGGTGCCTGAATCGAGACAGGTGATTTTCTTAGGGGGCCACACCTCGAGCCTTCGACCTAAAAGTCTGATCCATAAGGCAGTGGAGCAACGTCAGGATATGCAGTCCCATAGTAGCCGGTGACCAACGACTTGTTCATACTCCATTTGTTCCTTCAGGTTACTGGAGGTCATGTGTACCGTTGGTTTGGAATCAGGGTTTTCCAACTCCCCTAGGTGAACTCTCCCAACCCACCAACCATGTTAAGGCGCCGGACATTCGCTTTTCGTCCTCTCAATTTCGTAAACGAACACCCCCGCCACGAGAAGGCAGTGAGTAGGACTTCCCTGGCAATGGTTGTCTGCACGTGGCCATTTGAGAGCATTTAAAGGAGAGCTGACTTTCCCCACTCTCGGTTGTACCGGGGCATTCGGGTGCAAATAGCAGACAACAATTTCAAGAATTATTTCTTAAAATGACAATGAATAGTTTTTGAGTAAATATGTTGCACGGAGTTTATACATTCTGTGTTGACAGTGTCACAAAGTGTTTTTGCTTTTTTTCACCACAATTTATGTGAGACTGTATTTGTTAAGTAAAGTAATCTGAAAGTGTAGATCTAAACTATCAAGATATACCACTGATCAAAGACGATTTACACCAATTCAAATTGCACTTCATCAAAAGTTTAAACTGTATTTATTTGTACATTATTGTTTTCATACTTTTGAGCTAATATTTGTTTTTACTAGTTTATTGTCATCAGTTTGGTAAAGATAGGATAACTAAACAGTTATAACTTACTCACGCCTGTTACCGTTTGTGGAGTAGCATAGGGCGCACACCAGCATTCTCCATCCAACTCTGTCCTAGACAATCCTTTCCAGTTGTCCTCCAATTGCTAATCATCCTTTTCATGTGTGCTTCCAATTCCTGAGGCAGTGTTCTTCGGTCTTTCTCTTCTACGTTTCCCTTCGGGATTCCAAGTTAGCGCTTTCCTTGTGATGCAGTTTGACGGTTTCCGTAATATATGTCCTATCCACACCTCCAACATTTTTTGTAGTTTCCTCTTCAGATGGAATCTAGTTCATTCTCTCCCACAGTAGGCTGTTGCTTATTGTATCCGTCCGACGGACACTGAGTATCTTACGTGGACAATCGTTGAGAACTACTTGCACTTTTTGATGATAGTTGTGGTATTTCTCAAAGTTTCGGCTCCGTACAGTAGAACTGTCTTGACATTCATATTGAAGACTTTGACTTTGATATCGATTGACGATTGTTTTGAGTTCTATATGCTGTCCAACTGTATGAATGATGTTTTTACTTTGCCAATCCTTACCTTTACGTCTGTATCGGTCCCCCCCATGTTTATGGATGTTGCTGACCAGGTATGTGAAAGTTTCCACCTGTTTCAGATCTCCATCAAGTCTGATTGCGTTGGTATTCTTCGTGTTGTATTTAAGGATCATGGTTTTTTCCTTAAGTATTTTGAAACCTACTGATGCAGAAGCTGCTGCTACACTGGATGAACATTTCACCTGTTCAATTTACATTTATTCATTGTTTATTTCTGTTGGATTTATTCACCCAGTAAACACGTTCTGATCATTGTTTATGTCTTCCTAAATGATTCGATTTGGCACATTAGTTTGTTGAAGCAATATTTTATTACTTATATCATCTATAAGTATATTTTTCTATTTATTCAAAATTTTTTATGTTTCTCCGTTTGTGTTATCTGCATTTTAATTTACTATTATTTCTTTAATTTTTTTCGGTACATTCTAGACCTGTAATCTGTTTTGATTTGAAATATTTATTACAACTACAAGAGAAATATGAAGAACGATCAGTTAATTGGATTCCTATTGATGAAGAATGTCTTCGTTGGTCCCCGTTAATCCATCCTCAAGTAGGTTTTTTTTTGAATTTCTTTCGAATGTACATGTTTTCTTTCTCTATCTTACTGACTTTATAGTTTAATGCTAGTCATAGGTATTTACTAACATTTCTCAGTTGTACGTATGGTTATGATTATGAGTAATTATCCTATTTTAGTGCATCATTAATTTTCGAGATTATCAGATTGTTAAATAGTTTCTTCATCGTTTATGAAATCACCTAGAGAATATTACTTGTGTTTTACAGAAAGAAATGCTTAGATCTTAAGTTTTTCTTTCTTGGATAGTATAATTCTACAAACTTAAATTTTTCACTTGTTCGTACACATGAAGAAGCCCTTGGATAACGCACCTGATATTGAATAAACTCAAAAAACCTTGGCGCTTATCAGAATATTTAGAAATAATTAATGGTTCTTTAGTAAAAAAAACCCCACATCATTTTAGTTCAAGAAACTCACATTCAAGCTGATTAAATAGACCAGTAACAACAATCAACTCTTAGCACATGCAAACACAAAATGATCAGTTCAATGGAGCCAAACGTTTAAAAAAATGTTTTGGTATTGGCCAGTTAAAGAACAGATACTCTACGATTAACCAGTGGAATACAATGAAGTAAATTATGCGGTAAATATTAGTTACTCAAGAATATTACATTTATAGTGCAAAAATCTTACACTTGTCAATAAATTGTCAGATACCTGCTCTTATTCAATCGGTAATGAGGATTGGATGAGCTGAGACGATAAACGCAATCAAAATTCATCGCCATTCGTTCTTTCAGAACTCTATCGTCCGGTGATAGTCATTTATTTGCATACATATTAGTACAGATAAGCACCACAATAAATATGTTCTGGGCAGTGAGATTGTAAAGAGATAAAGAAAGGAAAGTGAGCGTAATGAAAAATCTGTACATGAATATGGATAAGTAGGTGAGAGTACAAGCAATAATATGAGAGGCCTTTTGTTTAAAACATAAATAAAATAAAACAAGAATCTTTTCAGCTAGAGAAGTTCCTCTCACTTTTATGACGAAATAAAACGAAAATTCACAGCACGATGACCAACGTCTTCTATTCTGAGCCATATCAGGTAGCATTCCATGTAACTGTGTTATGCTATCTCCAGGACCCCAACCAGGGAGTCTTTAAGACTGACAGGTACCAATGTTGTACAACTTTTTTTCATACCCTAGCACACTATGTCATAAACTAGCCACTGTTTCGCTTTTCCAACCAGTCCCACCATCGGCAAATAATGCATGATGTGTAATTCTCCAGAACGACATTTGTAAGCAGGTTGTAGTTTCTGGTATTATTAATTTCAATCACCTTTGGAACTGAATAATTTTATTTAAATCATGATTTTATTTGAACTCAGCATTTGTTTCTATGTAGACATTGCAATTCATCAAGATACTAATCCTACCTTTATAAATTTTCACAGTATTCTGTCGGTTATCGATTGCTGTCGTTAGACTGTTCAATTAGTAGGTCACAAGTCTGAACCCAGGTTCACTTCATTTTCGACAACCGGGTAGTATTGTCATTACGCAATGTGTCGCTCAAAGGCGAGCGTATAAACCTATGGTTGTTAAGTTAAACTGTGCGAACTAATAAAGTGTTTTTTACCACCAGCATTTCATTTTTTTAATATATAGGAATTGGACATTTCAGCAGACAGTTCTGGTGGTGGTTGTGACAATTCTAATTCACAAATAGTTCATCAGAATTCATCTATCATTCCATCTGAAAATGTAGTTTCTTCAACTGTACCAAAAATGAATAGATTCTCTCCTCAAAAACACAGAACTCAGTCACAATCGGATAAGGCTCCTATCAACCGAGAAAATAATATTGTCAAGTCACTGGAAACAGCTCCTCGCAAACGTAGTTTACGAAGTACCTGTAACAATAGCATTCCTTCAACTGTTAACACTGATGATAATTCTTCTAATCAATCTTTGTCCAACAGAATGTCCAACAATGTTTCAGATAATGTAACTGATATACATTTTAGACGTCTTCGTTCCCCACCTAGTTCCACTCATTCTCTTGATAAAAACAGTGAACAAATATCTCCACTTACTACTCTATCTGAATCTATTTTCACTTATCAATCATCAAGCAGACAAAAGCACGATTCTTTAGTTGCTACGGCAAGACATGATTCTACGAATGTCAAATCAATTTCTTGTAATCCTATTAACCCCACTGACAAGCCGTTGCATAATCCACGTAAAAAAGTTTCTAAAACTAAACCGTATCCTTCGCCTTGTCGTAAGCGAAGTTTTTGTTCAGATGGTCCACGTCCTCCAGATCCACCGTCTCCCCCTCCACCTGGTTAGTTTTTCTGTTGCTTTCTCTTTTTGTTCTGTTTAACATTCTCTTGATGTCCTTGTTTTTGATATGCCTTGTCTATTGTCCAAATTACATATTTAGTGCTTGATTTTTTTGGTGAATTCCATACTTTTTGTACGTATCTATACAAACCGCTGTTAAATATCACTCAAATTACATATTTAACACACAATAATAATAATAATAACTTGAGACTTCACGCACTGCATATTGTAGCTCATCCGCTTAATTTTTTTTGTGTGAAATCAACAAATAGAAATACTCAACTTAGAAATGAGTTAAATCTAAAGTATGGAGTAAAAGCGTTCGGTACCATTGATTCTACTTTACAACTATACTATTTACGATAACCGGGATGTTAATCAACTAATAATGTAAACACATGTTTTGATGTGTTTCTCTTTCTCACAATGGAAACGTTTTCTTGGGACTGGTGTACATCATTCATTTGATTGATCTTAGGAAGCGAAGTGGCTTGGTTCATCTACCATTCCAGTCATCTCTGAAGTAGTCCCGTCAGTCTTAATGAGTTGGTATCTGACGAAATCTCAACACAGATTTAAAAAGGTAGCTTGACTTTTGTCAACTCGTGTCATTTGTGACGTAGGCATGATGCCCATTTGGCAAACAAAGTGGGAACAAACTGCTCAGCAGTTCGTTCTTTCCTTCTTTGTGGTTGTGAAACATGGTCTATAAAAGTAAAAAGCATCCATAGGTCGTGGGCTTTCGATCATAAGGACTGTTCGTATATTGTGCAAGGACCGAATGTGCAATTTTTTATGTACAAAGGAAACATCATGAATTAATGCATGAGGTTTTGAATCCTAATCGACGGAGGTGGTTGGGATGTGTGTTACGTATGTCTAACCTCTACCTACCTCTTAAATACAGGTACACCCAGCTGACGAATGCCAGACGGGACGAAACGTGCATCCTGAATTCCACTGTTAGCCACTATCCCTATCTGCTTATAATGCATAACCAATATTTTCGAATTTTCTATTCAAAGTCCTTTTTAGACAAGGTTCCTTTTTTATGGGATAGGGTTTCTAACCTCACTTTCAAGCCTCATTCAATGTTTGGACTCGGAAGTGGGAGTAACCTTTGAAGGGCTTCATGTAGAGTTGTGTACATAACAAAGTCCTCACTGTTCCCGTTTTTGTGAAGATGTCAGTTGTTCAATACATACAACAACTTCTACATCATGTTCTTGTAGCAAACTTTGTATCACTGTGTTGTTAAAGGTACTCCGTTGTATAGTTTTCCCTTGTGAAACGTATTGTCATCTTACTGGAATTAACAGTTATGTGATTTGTACAATTCTCAGTAGAATGTTCCATATTCGACGTTAGTTTTAACTGAAGAAATATTTGAAAAAGTCTACATTTTTTATGGTTATCTTGGTACCTTATAAATTCAGTGAACTTAAAGTTGATTTTCTGAAATTTTATGTATATTTACCAATATTCATATCAGTTCCCAAATTGTTCTGTTTCCTTTCTGTGTCTCCTCACACATGCAGGAAGTGGTAGTGGATGCACATCCGCTGACAATTGTTCCATTGCTACTAGAACTCGTCGTCTCTCTTATAATGCACCACAGAAATCTTCGACAAGAAATTGCAATAATACAAATAATGCTAAAGAGACAAGTTTATTTTCAACATTTATGAATTGTTTCAATTTCTCTTATGGTATGCCTACATCTACTACTTCTGAAAGTTATGTCACTAGTATTAGTAGCAGTAGTAGTAGCAATACTGTGACGACTCTTAATAATAATCATAGTAATTTTTCTTCATTATATAATCTGAAAGATAAATTATTCACCGCATCAGCAGGTAAAACAATACATACAAAAGGTGACAATATTTGCCCACCATCATCATCTGATTGCATAGATATGTCACCACTTCGTCCATCTTTTTCCAGTTCACCAACAACTGTGTTAGTTAGAGATGACAGTGATAGTGATTGTGTGGGAATTTTTGATGAAGAATGTCAAGGGACTAGTGAACAACGGTGTCAATTGAATGTAAATCATCAGGTAAGAACGTTTTTGAATTATTGTGACTTTTATTTGATATGAAATCATTTATGAAGTAAGTATTCTATGTATTAGTCCCGTTTGAGTCATATTTACTAGGAAATAAGACAAACCATAGTATCGCTAACGCAACGGAAAAAAGTCTACGCCTAACGGACCTCACAAGGACAAAAAGAAACTCAAAACCAGAGAAGATATTGTCCTAGTTCCAGTGGACAAAGGACTCACTGCAGTGATTATGGACAAGGAAGAATATATCAGGAAAGCCGAGGAACTGCTTGAGCATGAAAGTCTATACAAACCAGTCAGTTCCTCAGCCAGAAAGTCACCACCAACTTCCTCCTCGTTTGGTAGATCAGTCGTCACAGGCTACAGAGGACAGAACAGTCTGATCGATGTTGCTGGAGCAGCAGACCAGTTGAACTGCTCCTCGACAAACTGACCATCGTCCAAGACGTCGGTAGATGTTCACAGATTGGTTCACTCGCACCACAATTCTTGCGGCCAGTAACTCGGATGAGTTGAGAGAGCCCCTGGCAGTTACCAGATACATCTGCTGTTTTTAATTTGTTAGCACGCTCCGACCATCAGGCTTCTCAGCCCTTACACAAGCTTTGCCCAATTTCATTATGTAACAGTTTCCGTTTGTGATCAGACTCACGGTCACCCGGAGTTGACTGACGGGCTTCAATGAGTTGTAGGGAGCCAGAAACAACCCAGTGCTTATAAGTGGACGTTTCGCGAAGCCTCAAGCGACTTTACTCGCCATTTTTCTGTCACCATGCAATTGCAACCAATGCTCCTCGATACTTTTCTGTGGAATGTTAGCTAGCATTGAACTTAGCTATCCTACTTCAATCCCATCAATTCGATTCAATAAATTAACTGTAAAATCATAGTAAACTATTCTTTACTCTTAAAAGTTAACTTGGTTCGACAGCCTTTATATTCTGTTCATTGTTCTATAAAAGTGTATTTCACTCATTTTCTTCCCTTTTATGTTATGAACTCTTCTGCAAATCGATAGACTGACGGATGATATTCAAGCTTTGATAGCACAATCGTTATTATTTTCAAAACTTGAAATATACCTATTCTAACGAGTTTAAGCATTAATAATACACAATATATTTGATGTGAATACAATTTACAGACGACCTTTGAGCAACGCTAAAGTGACCCTGAGGATGTCCACCTACTAACTAGGACTGAACGAGGGTTATAAAGAAGTGTCGGGAATTATAATTTTGATTTACAGTTCATGATTAGAGTTATGCACTAGATTTAGGGTTTTCGTCACAAACTGACATAATCTAAAATGCCAAAACGCTATTTTGTCAAACGTATAGATGAATTTCGTGCTAAAATCCAAGGCCTGCTATCCTGAATCTTATTGGTTCGTCCATGAATTATAGTCTCGTCATATATATATATATATATATATATATATATATATATATATATATATATATACTTTGTTCGAGTCTAAGGGTGAATATCAAGTCTAGGATTCAGGTACGCTTAGCTGACGAGTCACAAGTAAGACGAAATGAACATTCTGGATTACACTGTTACCAACCATCTATTTGTATTTATGAATGAAAATGGGTTATTTTCATCATGAAAGATGTTAAGACTTCAGTACTGTGCATTGTAAATAAATAAATAAATAAATAATATTTTATTTATGATCGAACGGTTAACTCTAGATCTGTTCAATAAAACTTATTAATGTATGAATGTTGATAATATATACTATTTGTTTGATTCGGCTTTTTTAAGTTCATCGATTTTTGAACGTTTGATTTCCTCGTTACAAATTCAGTAGTTAGATTACCACATCACTTATCAAAACCCAAATTACAGTTTTTTCTGTAATAATTCTTTTGGTTGGTAGCTTAGATCCGTCAACTAGTTAAAGACAAGCATGATCCTATTGAAATCATCTAAATTAAGTTCTTATTGTTAGCAAAATTCTGAACAGAAACAGTTAATTCCTTCAGTGTTTTCCAAATGAGTTAGTAATAATCGATGTTTGTCATTTAGTTAATGATTATTGAAGTGGCACAGTCTCTTGCTACACTACATGATGATATAATCTATCTGCTGAAAGGAATAAATTTGCTTCAAATTCATGAAAAAGTAAGATTTGCCTTTTTAAATGATGATACATAGATTCATTTAAAAAACGTTCAATTGTCTAAATTAAAGTACCTGGATTCCTAATGATTTTTGTTCAATTTCCAGGAATAGAATATTTTACTTCTTTTTTTTCTGACAAATTATTGATTCCTCATTTTGTTTAACAATATCATTCTTTCCCATTTTTCCCTTGTTTTTTAATCTATAGGAAGAACAATTCATTAAAAATAATGTTGTTGATAGATTATCATCACTTAGTCCTACTTCAATCCATACACCTTCTCCACCGATGTTATCACTTGCTGATGGTTTATCAACTAATGACATTGATTTGCCAACATCATTGAATGATATAATCAGTAGTAATCACAATAATCATAATAATCATAGTGGTAATAATGATAATACGGTTTCGTTTATATCAAAATCACATCATTCTTTTGGTAATGAATTGAATAATAGACCACCACCGTGTTTATCACTTTATGATAGTGGACTACTTGTTGTCCACTCAAAATCGAATGATTCATCTATTGATTCTCTTTCGTCGTCATCATCACCGTCATCGTCTTCTTCAGATTCGACAGCTAAAGCTGTAGATTATTCCTTGGCGAATAGCCTTCACTGTGTTCATCGTCACTATGAATTAGGTGGTACTTCAAATCGTCGTTTAACAGATCTTTCAAGAACTTCACATAAATTCAATCCCAGTTTTAGTTTTCCTTTGTATGTTGAAACTAATCTGGATGATGAGGATGTTGTAAATACTGATATCACTACTACTGCTACTACTTCTGTTACCACTGCGAGTAATGATCGAGATTGTATGCTGTCATCGTTGTCGGAAACGAAAATCCTTCGACATCAACAACATCAACGTAATAACCGTCTAATACAACAGGATGATAATCTTATAACAACAACTTTATGCTCTGAAATCTCTGTACATTCTTTATCCGATGCTGTTATTAGCACAAACAGATCTCTTCTATTTAAAGGGTTGCGTAAATCTCTTCATAATCGAACACATCATTCTTGGCCTACATCTCCTATACATTCAAGTTCATTGTGTAAATCTGCTCCATCTAATTATAAATTTCAAAATAATGACTATAAAATCCGTGGTTCTGAATCCTCATCATCGTCATCGTCCTCTTCACCCCCAATACTTTGTCGCGCTGTAAATAATTGTACACCATTAACAGCTCCTTCATTAATACCATTCAATACAACCGATAATCATAAATCTCCATTGATTGGCAGTTGTCATTCAGTAAGAAATCATCAATTGAATCATTCGCCCTTACCTCCTGTTTTAATAACCAATGATGTTAAGCCAGAAACAATATTATCACCTATTTTCAGTACTTCACTGTCAGCTCACTGGATTAATCAACATTGTGATGATATTCAACCACCGATTTTATTACCATCAAATTCTTGTGAAACAGGTAAATTGTCCATAATCACTTTGTTGCATGTTTTTACTGATTCACTGGTTAACAACTAGTATTATGTTTTCTTTGATCCTTTTTAGTGTTGATCGAATTTTATCGATCAAATTACTATGTGGTCATTAGTCTAAGCGACTTAACATCGTATGTACTGTGTTATGAGATGTCAGATAATGATTGTAGGAAGAACGCTGTCGAATACCTCCAAATATACTAAAAACTACACAGAATAGTGTTAAACCTTTATTTTACTCATTATTCCATTATGCAGTTGAGAAAATTGCGTCTAGACACTCTTAGGAGTTTGTTTTAATCAATAAATGTTCAAATTCTGCAATCTAATTTGGTTCGGCCTACTGATTAGTAGTGTTTATTTATGTGATTCTCAGTTTGGATATTACTTCTTATTTCATTCATCTGACAACATTGTGATAACAAAACGGTTCATAATTGTAGCACGTTCTAAATAATAACAGATGTCAATGTAATATTTGCATATCATTTCAAATTAAATGGTTTGAGGATGATTGGGAGAAATATCTCAATCTAGGTTTTGTGTTGCTCGAAACTTGTAGCGCGGTATATCTATAATCTTCTCGGAACTAATGATTCATAAAAAATTGCCATCTATATTACCCATGTTGGGCTACATGGCTCAATAGTAAATGATACAGATTCCATTCGACGAGTGGCCAATGGTTGTGGAAACTTACATCCATAGATTTCTAGTGTTTGTCTCCAGTCATCAAATGAATGACCTTGTCAAATTAATTCTCTTAGACTGTTGGTATTGTTGGGACGAATATTAGGAAACTTGGAATATTCTGAACTATTTTCCGGATTATTATTTTTACTTACATTTCTATTTTGTAATTAGTAGATAACTTTATCGTTGCATTTCTATTTTCCACTTATTGAAAGCTTCCGGCGAACCTATTGACTGTTAATTAATTTTGTACTGCTTGCTCTGCTCTCTACTACTTAGGTTATGATTGTGCTTAAAGTGTGATTTCTTATTTGATGTGCTGCGTTGTCAGGGTTTTTAAATATACATTTGCATACGTTTTGATTTATAGTTACATTGAGTATAATAGAGAACTAATGTCCTTCCTTTCTTCGTCGTCTGATTGGCTGCTGGGCTAGAAGGAACTTGAGGATCAATAATCGTTGAGGACTTGGCTGTTGTTGCTCATTAGTCAGTGTGTAAATTCTTAAAATTGAAGGTCAACGACCCTACTGGTGATGTAGATAAACTAATTAAGGATTGGAATCTTGACTGAGCAATATAGCACACTATAGCGATCTAGTATCACAAGACATAACAACTGATTACACTATAGCAATAAAGTGCAGTCATTATGAACTTTAAAACGTGAAATTATTTTTTACTCAATAACCAGTCATAATGAACATAGAGCCTGGAGAAAGAAGTGAGGGTTAGTCTTTTTCTATCCTACGTTAGTATGCTAAGGTCCATAATCAATTGCTCTGTGATATGATCTTTTTTCTACTGTATTTCAGAATGTTCAATTAATGCCACTGAAAACCTAACTCATCCACCTGTATCGCCTTACTCATCCTCTACCATTTCATCTACTCATATTGATTTATCGGACAATTATGCAAGTGATCATTCAACTGTATTAACTCTTCCAATGACCGGTGAACAACAATTGCATAATAATAGTAATATAAAAATGAAAAGTATCGATTGTGTAGAAGATAGCTATGTTAACGGTCAATTAATGAATTATACAACAGATACCGATGGATTGACATTAATTGCATCCTATAATGGTGATGATCTTGTAAATAATCCATCCAAATCATTATCATCATTTGATAATAATTCACTATCTTCTATGATTTCTCAAGATAGTAGTAGTGAACAAACTGTTGCAATGTGTTTATCCGATAGTTTAAGTCCACCATTTCTTGAAGATTCACAAGATTTATTCAACGGTAACAATTTTACAGAGAAAAAACGAAATAATTTATTAAATGATAGAACCTTAACATATAATTTCAAACGTAATCATCAAATGGATATTTATTCTCATCATAATAGTGATAATAGTGCTTTACGTAGTCGTCATACTTCAGAACCGAGCAAGATAATAATGATGATGGACATGGTGTGTTATTATCCCATGGGAAATTGTCGTCGATGTCATAGTCATCCGAATTTGAAATTTTGTACAAACTCATTACTGTCTGAAGTAAGAATAGCACTTGAAGATGATAATGATACTACAACTATTATTACTCAGCCAGCGTTAGGTTCACCAGTCAGTCATCGATCATTATTGGAAGAACAATCTGATGATTATTTAGTGAAAGTATCCGCTGATTTGTTGAATTTACCGTTATTTTCTGAAAATATCAATATATCTAATCAACCAATGATAGCAGTTTCCAGTCAACATTACGAAAGTCTTTCATGTGTTACTCAGTCACCTACTCTTTCTTTGTGTAGTCATTCACCAGTTGTAGATGAAATATCGTCTTATGTTGTTGATAAACAAGATACTAAACTTGTTGATTCAAATCATCCCTCTAAGTTGTTATCGCCTTCATCTTCTTCTTGTAGTCCGACTAATGAAAGTAACGTATTCCAGTCTTCAATCATTTCATCAAATAATCCTATCAACTTGTGTAATTGTGCACCGAATCCTTTAGACATTTGCAGTACTATGTCAACAACAGTAACGGTTACTTCATGTAACACTGATACTGATACACTATCCTACTTAAACTCTACTCAGACATCATGTAAACCGTTAAATATACAAAATATTTCGTTTCCAGAAGAAGAAATTGATTTTGTTACTGATTCGAATGTTAATTTGTCAGTTGTATCTCCGACATGTGTAACATATTCAAACAATAACCCATCAACAGTTAATTCCTTGTCATTGACATCAACAATTCCACTATCTACAATGAGTTTATCACTGATATCTGATAGTATTGTTTCTTCTGTCATTCCAGATATTCCCAATCCTATTATTACTCCCACTGTACATATAGATGTAACTCGAAATAATCCCACCATTGGTCAACATTTTTCTCCTTCAAAAAATCAATATTTGTCAGAGTATACAAGTCCTGAAAGAGAACACATTCCTGTTGTAGTATCTGATCATGAACCAGATTTCGATTCTACTGAATTAACACATATCCACCATCATCTACAATTCGAAAACAATAATCGACATGATTATATCGATAATAAAAATACGATAATTACCAAGGAATTCTTTCATACACCTTTGTCGAACCACGACGATAAAACGTTATTATGCGATACAGATGACATTTTGTCAGAATCATCAAATTTTGTTTCGCCTGATACAGATCAATTGGTTTGTGGATCAACACATTCTTATTCTAGTTCTGTTTTATCGAATATTTTAGACCAATCAGATTCTGTTATTGTCACTTCTTCTACTACTATTACTACCACTACTACTATTAATGATATTAATTTTACTAATAATCTCAGTAAATCATGTGATATGAATTTATTAAGTACCAATTATTCTGGACAACTTTCTAGTTTACCATTAATTAATATGGAAGTGTTTCCAGTGACAACTTGTACAACAGTAGGTGTACCATCTCAGTCAGATAACTGTTGTGTCAATAATATTAGTCGAGGCATTGGTAGTGTACTGTCATCATCGTCATCTCATTTTCCTGTCATTCACCAGTCAACAGGTTTAGGAAGTTTCCCCTATGAATCTGATTTCTCTTATCAACAACAATCAAATATTTATGATTCGATACCAATGAGAACATGTCCACAACTTAATAGTAGTAGTATCCCAACACCATCATCAAGAATAACAACAAGTCGTTCTAAAACAAAACGAGATGGTAATACTAAAAAGAGCTTGAAAACTACTTGTAGACAGTCAAGGTCATGCTCTTCCATCTCTCCAGTTTCTTTATCTATTCCATGGCCAGAGGGTAATCCACTAAAATCGTCATATGCAAGACGTGCATCATATCAAGTTGTACCAATTAATCAATCTACGTATAACATAACGTGCGATCAGTATAATCCATCGGATTTGTTTGGTTCAACAGGTTTCCCATCAATAACATGTCACTCTTTAACTCCTGGACAGATAGTACACACATCACAAAATAATAATTTATCAGATTCTTATCTATGTAGAGCATCTAATGCGATGGGAACCTGTGAATCACTCCGTCTTCCAACAACATCATACTGTTACTTAACACCGATGTCTTCGTATGGTGTAAATATGAGTACACAGCAACCTTTCGACACCTGTTCCAATTTTCAAAATCCCAGTCAGTTGTGTGGAATGGATCCTGTACCCTGTTCCATGTCCAATCTACCGAATTCATGTAATCTAGAGCCTCAACTTCCACATTTGTCGGTTGCACAGAATTACCAATGCATTCCATCTTCGTTTCCTTTTTCGCATCATTCAAATTCTCAGTCACTTTTACCTTCCGGAGTCAATCAGTTCATACCGGAGATGGGTAATAATAGTTCCTGTCAATCACTATCAACTACAATTAAGACAGACAGAACCCTTCATATAAATCGACTGTCATCCACTCCAGTTTATCCTGTCTATTCAGGGAATTTTCCATTTCCTCTTGTTGTAACAAGTACAAGAGATGTTCTTTCATCAAATCTTCAACTATCAACATCAACCGGTTGCACAGCTTCTCAAATTAATAATTCACTTCTAGTAAAGCCAGATTATTTTAATTATTCAGGTAATTGTAATTTAAATCAACCGTCCATTCTTCCATGTACCGAAAGAAATGTACAATCATGTAATATTGTTGACAATACTTCATCTCTTACACAATTATCAGGTTCCTACTGTTCTGGAATTGAACAACAACCAACGTTTCAAAATACCTCCTCTAATTTCCTGTCGAATATTTCGTCAAATATAAGTTCAAATCAGTTTATCATGGTTAATACTACTACTACTACTGCAATTAATAGTATTGTTGATGATATCACTGTTACCTCTACTCATATTCCCTATCCTGGTATACTTAGTAGTAATTGTAGAAATAATCGAAATAGTGATATTAATAGTAGTATAGGTAGACTGTCACAACATGACATTCTACCACCAGATATAACTTTACCTTTCTCAACAATAGTCGATACATATCATCCGAAAGATGCATTGTATAATGCTAACAATAATAATAATTATTATTATCATTGTTCTGATAGCCAAAATAATTTATCTCTACTAGATTCACCTGTTGTTATGCAATCACCATCATTAGTTGGTTGGACTCCAACTGATTTAGTTAATAGAACAGGACATTTCACTCAAATTCCTTATCATCCAATGCCTACTTGATAATTATTGAGTAGATAATAGTAATTTTCTGTTTTCTTACATGTATCTTTTTTGTTCCGATTCTCTCTCTCTCTCTCTGTACCCCACCCCACCCCCCTCAACACTTTATTCGAGATTGTTAAACAAAAATATGCTTTTTCATTTTATTTGCATTTTCTTCCCTTTCCCTCTTTCTCATCATGTGTTTATTGTCTCAAACATTACATACATTGAGTAGCTTATTCTGTAAAAAAAGATGGAAAAACAGAGAAATTTTTGCACATATATTTTGTATGTGTGTGTGTGTGTACAAGAATTATTGTCTCTTTTTTCTGTAGTAAGAAAAAGAAACCAAATTTTGTTTTTGTTTTTCCAAGATTATAATAATTTATTATTATTTATTTATTTAATTTTTCTTAAATACTGAAGTGTATCTTCTTTTTTTTTAATGTACAAAGCCAATATCAATTATTCATTGTATATGAGATAACCATAATGATAAAAAAGGGGATAATGTGAAATGATGAAATCATCTTTAATTATTTCAGGGAATTTTGTTGTTTGTTTGTTTTCTACATGTAAATAAACGAAAATAAATAAACAAAAAAATAGAGAAAAATATAGTCATTACAATTTATCCTTGTGTTTTACCTACTTCTTTTCTTTCTTTTGTTTAAGTGGATTGATTTATTATTCAATAGATAAATTTATTGTTGTTAAGTTATTTGATGCTAATATGATTGAATGAATTCATTGCACAAAATGTTTATTATCCTAGAAATTATTATTAATCCTTCGTTAATTTTGTATAGAATTAAGTTATTTTAATTATTGTTCTGTTAGGTTTCTATCATAGTTTATTTATTTATTTATTTATGAAAATTCAACATAGTACATGTTTATATATTTTCAATTTTCAATCAATCCTATTGTGTTTTTATTACTTTTACTATTAGGTTGTTTAAATGGAATTAGTTAATGTGGATTTCAAACAGTTGAAAGATGAATTTATTTACTTATACTAGTTTAGTATACTTGTTAAAAGAAGATAGTATATTGTGAAACTATTATATATTTATCAGATGGGTCCTGGGTTCGATTGTCGCAGGGAGCGAGGTCGTGGATGCGCACTGCTGAGGAGTCCCACAATAGGACGAAACGGCCGTTCAGTGCTTACAGGTTTTCCATGGTGGTCTAGCTTCATTTGACTCATCATCTTAATCATTGGAATTATTATATTTTTGTTTGATTGTAGATGAGTTTCTTTTGGTTTGTAATTGCATGTTGTTTATGGATGGTTCTAATACATTAGCTATGGTGGAATAAGAAAGTATTTTAGTAGTTATACAACAAATAGAAGTATGAATTCTATTGGTTACTTTACCATTCATTAGATTTTATATAATTGGTATTTGATGGTACTTGTGTTCTTTGATCTGGTTATTAAATTATTGTCGACAGTTGGTGTTAATTTTAAACTATATTTTATGCCTAATCAAATTTTTAATTATATTACGATTTCCGATCGAGTTATACTGAGTCTCCTCAATCTGTACATTGACCAATTGTCTAATTCTTAAGTGTGAAGATCAGCGTCGAATGGAGGCCTAGTAGTTAGGGGTTCCGACATTTGGTCATTAAGTCTCAGGTCCAAACCCAGCTCCGCTTATATCCTGGGACCACCGAGTAAGTAACGCAGTTGTTAGGAAACGGGTACTAGGTAAGGATGGCAAATCAATTGAGGAAGTAGTAGAACTTCATCCATTGAGATGGCAGGGACATGTCTTACTTATGTCCAACCACCGAATGCCCCGACGTGCTATGTTCAATGATAAAGGAGAAGGTTGGAAGAAATCTACGGGCGGCGAGATCAAAACATGGCACAAATCCATGAAGTCACTGACAAGTGTATTGAGTCACGTTGGTAGGTATAGACTTCCTGGTTGGGATCCGATGGTTGAAAACCTTGAATGACATGGCTGAAAGTCGTTTGCAATGGCGCAGGTGAATCCACTCTTTGTGTTCTCCTAAATTCCAATCTTCTGAATTCTCCTTGTCTCTTTTTTTCTCTTTCCAAATTTATTTCACTGGATTATACTCCTTCAATAACATCTTCAAACCCTAATGTTTCCGATTACTGCTTATACTCTTACTACCTCTACCACTACGGGATTTGAATCGACAACTGCATCTCTGTGCTAATTTGTTATGGCAACTCGAACTGATGTACGTACGAAGTTCTACGTTGTTACTTACTGACTGACCGCTTATATCGGTAGGCATCCTGAAGCTTTTCTCTTAGTGTGGTAATTATTAAAAGTAATAACAAACCAGTCATATCTACTAGTAATGGGATATTGGGAGTCGGGCAGATTTTACTATTTGAACTCAAACATTGGTACAAGACGGTACCAAGTACATATGCGAAACACAATAACACAGGCCAGTAGTAGTTTTCATTGATTTGTGTGAGGGCAATGATACTGTCTGGACGCCCGAACCGAAACAAGAGGTTTTCTTAGTGGGATACTCCTCAAGCTTTTGACCTAAAGGTCTAATCCACAAGTCAGTGGAGCGATGTAAGGTGATGCAGTCCCATGTTAGCCAGTGATCAACAATAGGTTCATGTTCCATTTGTTCCTTCAGGATACTGAAGCTCATGTGCACCATTGGTTTTGAGTCATGGTTTCACAACTCCCTTATGTGGATCCTCCATGTCCACCAACCCAAATAAAGCACCGGACATCCGTTTTTCGTCCTCTCAATTTCGCAAACATTGAGTAGGACTTCCTTGACGCTGTATATGCATGTCCATGTGAGAGTTTCTTGAGAGGGAGAGCTGACTCCTCACTCTCGGCCGTACCAATGCAATTGGAGGAAGAAACTGGGAAAGATGTCAAGTAATAATGCTTGTTTCTACATAATTTTATTCTGTTAGACTAGATCGTCCTAAGACCACCATTGAAAACCTGGGAGCACTGGATGGTCGTTTCAACCTAGTATGGGACTCCAGGCGCACGGGAATCGAACCCAGGGCTCTCGATCTTGCGCATGAGCGCTTAACCTCAAGTTAATTGAGCCGACAACCAATGGCGCTAATGTCTAATTTCAAACAATCCACAATATTGTTCGACCATCTTCACTTGTCTTCGGTGGGTAATTGCCTCACACTCGACTCGGATTAGCTCCACTGATAACGGTTTCTTACTAGAACTCTTGTGAAGAGTCATAGATGCGCACTGTTAAGGAGTATCATGTTAGGACAAAACGACCCTACAGTCCTTCCAATTTTTCAATAATGGTCTAGCTAAGGTTTCTTTGTGATTGTCATCATGGACTTTTGTAGAGGTAAGCTTACTAAATATTTTAGACGTATTTATCGGTTCGTTCCTGTAGCCTTGTTTGTGACTGACTGTCTTCTTAGATTTCATTATCTTCATGTACTCTTCGACTAGTGTATATTGTCCTTGTTAGTTGACCTCCGGTCTTGTGATTGATCGACATCTTTATGTGTATGCTGCTTCCACTAATTCTCTGATATTCTTGTAGCTTACGAGAGTCTAGATTTTTATTTTCTAATCAGATTTGACTTGATGGTTATCTTCATGCATTGGTATCATTGATAGTATATGTTGTTGCTTCTTTACTGATCTATGTTTATTCATGAGTAGGTGAAATGGTGCACACTTCTTCTAATATAATGTTTCCCGCTGTTGGTGTTAAGGCTTTAAGCCTGGCTTTTTAACACGTGGTTTATTCACCAATCGAGATACGACTTATTGAATCTTAGTACTGTACTAAAGGAATGACGTCCGACCAGTGTGAGCAGCCTAGCATCGTTATTAGTCCTTTGTTTGCCTAGCCCATCCATTTGAGTCCAGAACACTAACAACAACTTCCACTATGCTAATCATTTATTTCAAACATACTCGGTTTATATACCAGACAAACAGACTGCATCACATCATAAAATAGGAAATAACATTTATACATAATCAAGCCAAAATGTGGCTGTGAACATGTGAGACTGTAGTCAATAAACTGAACATAACTTAAGAACAGTAAATCGTATAATAATAATCTGTAGGTCAAAATGAACCTTATAATGAGAGGAATATAGATATACTTAGTCTAGTCGCTGGACAGTTATACAATAAGAATATATATATAATATCAGTCCATTAATAGTTCTCAGAAGTTACCCATAACTTAATCTTTACTAGGACATTACAGTTGGTGCAAAGTATTTTGTAAACGACGTTGAATTTGCTTTCCTTTCATGTTGTGGATTCTGGTCCGCATAGAATATAACTACGTTGGTTTGTGAACGAAATTAATGCTAAATGGTTTCTGTGATATTTCTCTCATATTGTGATACAATAGTTTTCTTGGTTTCCGAAGTTGATTTTTTGACAGTATGTTGATTGGCTACACACCTTTTGATTAAGTTGTTGGCGTAGCCACTTTTACGGAAGACAAACTGCAGACGAATTTTCATGTAGCGAGAGTAGTTCAGTGAGTTTTGGGGCCGGCCAATAATTTATGAACGAACCATTCAGGCCCCATATAGTAGGTCTTGGATTCTGGCGTGATATTCATTAATCCATATGGACAAATGGAATTATAGCTAATACCAGTTCTTGAGGAAAACTCTAGTTCCAATAACTAATCGTAACACCAACAGTAAATCATAAACCTATTTAATATAAATCGCTCATTTAACCCTAGTAAATAGATGGACATCTTCATGATCACCTTGGCATCTCTCAAATGTCGTCTATAGATCATAGTTTCACCCGCTTTTGTCCTTCTGTATAGCATCCCTGCCTCAACTATCTTTATATATTTAGTTTTTTTCTATTCTCATCTAAATTTATAAGTAACACTGAATTTCCCTTTTATTTTCTTCTGTCTAAACCGATACAAAGAACCTTATACTTCTGCTTTGATACTAAGTAAATAATTGTCCTATATTTTATTAATATTGCAATCTATCCTCCTAATTGTTTCATGTCAAATAAATGTAATATTTGTACAACTCAATTAAATAATTTTTCGTTTGATGTGGTGTCATTTCAAGGAAGTTCATATCATTCGAAAACTAAAATAACATTTTGTTGAATACATGTACTACTTATTATAATGTGAGTAGCATGAAGTTTATGATTAAATTTTAAAAATCTCTGGACAAGAACTCTGCAATCATTCTGTGTATTTTTTCAAACTATTGATACATTATTATTATCTACTATGGTCTATACAGTTTCAGTTCCTCTCAATTTTATTTATTACATTCAAGTATCATGCACTGGTTTTGTTGATAATTACAATTCCAAACATATCAATAACTGCATAAAATCAACATTCGTTCCTATTGACAGATAAACCATGTTAAATTAAACATTTATTTAATTTCAAAAGTAGAATAACAACTCAAGTATTACGTATAGTAGTTTGCAAACTGTAATAACTGTTTCGAAATTATGCTAATAAATGATGGATAGTGGTGTAGTGAAGGAGAACACAAGTGAGGACAACCGATTTTATTTAGCACAAAATTACATAGAAAAACCACACTCAAATACGTCATTGCAAAATGTTAATTCATTGTTTCAGACTTCATTGTTCCTGCATTGCCATACCAATTGCTTTCTGTTGCCAGACATTCTATTCCTGACTAGTGTTATATACTACTTATTTCGACATAGGTAGCACACCACAGTAGAACAATATAATAAATAACGTTGGATATAAGGTATG